CCGGCATCGGCCGACTGCCCGATGGGGTCCATCCCAAGCGTTTCCACGATGACTTCGGCCATGTCCCTGGCGAAGCCCAACCCCGTCAATTTTGCCAGCTTTTGACGCTTCTGCAGAAGGTTAACACCATTGGGAATAGAACAGGCATGGAACGCGACTTGGTGTAAATGTGAGAAACGTGCACCATTGGTGCCAGTTCTTCAGTCAGACGCAGTCCAACCCCGTTCTTACCTTGTCCGGCCCATGCACATCCACACCCAGGGCACCATCGGATGCCATTCTGGAAGAGATAACAAACGGTCGTCGGGCTATTACTAGCTTGCGCTTAAGCGCAAGGAGATGGGCGTCTTCCAAGACGAAGTTTGGGACACGGGACACCTTGAATAAGACCCGAACGTAATCTGTATGCAATCTGCAGACCCTACTGGGGGACAAGTCCGCAGGAGGCGTATCAACATGCAAGACGTTATCAACAGCAAGCCGGTTTGGGGGTCCAAGTACAGCCTGTCACGCTGACTAGTTGGACAAGGCTGTATACTCTTCTGCGTGAAGGCATAATGACTTCTCCAGGAGAGCAGCAAGAATGAAGTCGCCACTGCGACCCAGTTGTACGACAGCACCACAGAACCAGCCTTAGAAGATCCGGTCGCTTCGCTCCGTCGCATCTAAGCCAACAAAACGTTATCAACAGCAAGCCGCTTTGGGGGTCCTGGCTCAAAGTGAGGCCCACCCTGGAGTTAGTTGTTAAGCTTTCATGTTACTTCCTCATACAAACTGCTTCTCTAGTACTGTGATGTTTTATTGGTTTTATTCATGCAAACTGAGCTGAAGTTGCAAGGCGCGAAGATGCTGGCCGCATCATGCCGCACCGCATTCCCAAGCCAGTATGCACAACTCTGAGAAAGTTTGCAGTCTTTATTGTTTTGTTGTGGCACAACTCCACGTAACTCTGCACATTATAGTGCATAGGAGCAATTCTTGCGCAGAAGTCCAAGTCGACTCAAAAGCATTCCAATTGGACTGTCTGGCTTGATGTAATGTTATCAGGTTGTTTATCGTAGCGCTTTGGCGCACCCAACGTGGAGTGTTGGCGCCGGAATGTGCAGCTGAACTCCTGCGCTATGAACCTGAACCAATGGTGCACGTTCCCAGCCATGGACATTTTGACAGAACACCCTTGTACGTTCTGCCATTCTAACCACAGCATTATAATTTGTTGCAGTGGCCGTCCTTCGAACATAACAGTCCTTCCCCCCTTAGGACGCGCGATTTGCAATAGCAGCCAGTGTGCAATTAGATATGTAGACCTCTGTGATGCGAGTTCTTCCTCAGTCGAGATCCGCTTCAACGAGCGTTTGTCGCTTCAGTCTGCTTCGGAACGAACACAGCCGGGCGGAATTTGACGCTAGAGGAAATAAGCCATAGAGCAAGAGAAAAATATCTCGCGGAAATAGAAAATAACCCTGGTCATTCCCCTGATTTACGCCTAAAGAGAAAGCCGATATTACAGCACCTGTGTAAACGAAAGGAGTAGGTTTGTAGCTGGCAAGGGATGGGGATGGGACCCTGGCTGACAGCTTTCGGATCTGAACACAGCTGCAGGATGGGGATGGCCCTGGTCGAAGGGATTGGGAAGGGACCCTGGCTGGCAGGATGAGGATTGGGGGAACACAGCTGCAGGATGGGATTGGAAACCCTGGCCATAGGATTGGGGATGGGACCCAGGCTGGCAGGATGGGAAACCTGTCTCAAGGGATGGGATTAGCACCGGGCCCCTAAGATGTGAGATGGGAGTCGGTCACCCCAGCCAGGATGGGGGGATGGCTGACCACTACCACCCCCCGGGATTGGGGGATTAGACCGTTTTTGCAACCCTCTGGTATGGTCGTATGATAAGGTCGAGAAATAGATTGTATATAGGTTTATAGTATGCAGTGGCTTACAGATCGTGCCATGGTATATTAGATAGGCCTGAAAGTAGGTGGTCTATAGACACTTCTCAAGTTTATAAACAAAGCCTCTGCTGTGCGCTTGAAGCGGCGCCGCTAGTTGCTTTAGCAGCGGAACGGACGGACGGATGGACGAGCAGACAATATCACATTACCCATGCACCTCTCGCCTATCAGGCGGGATATGGCAAAATTGGCAGCTGGTGGCTGTCTGTATGTTCGTGGTGCATGGCTGGTTTGTCCACACTGCGCTCCTGTTGGCCTACTGCCTACTGTTTATAATGGTTTAATGTGACTACTGTGTTATTAACTATGCATGTATGTGTGGCACCCAAATGGGTGACGGTCATGAATATGTTCTTAGTTACTGGCTAGGATGCCCTGGCTGCACCGTGCTGCACCCATGCTGGTGACTGGTGAGTCAAACGCTGCATCGTCATACAAAGATACAACCGAAGCACATTAATTGTAGCCCAACTAGTGACCGACTTGATTGTTGGTCCCTCTTGTATTATCGCTATCGAACTGGGAACGAACATAACCAGAACATAACCGACAGCTGCTCTGTGATGCGCAGCTTCCTCAACCCGACCGTAACACAGCCACGAAACAATAAATTGCCACAACCTTCATGCATAAAACCTGCCTCCACAGCACGAATGGCGGCATCCTGTTCCCAGGATCAACCGGTACTTGCCCACCACACACCCACATCTGCCCACATCACGCCACCGAGTAGGGCGCGAGTTGCCTCGAAGCTGGGAAAAGTGTGCATTCCCCCGGGGTCGCTGCAGGGGACTTGATTGCTGACTGCGAGTTGATTCCGGAGCAGTTCGGTGCGCACCCACAAGTCAGCATCGATGTCTAACGGTGTTTTAGCATGAGGAGACGTCCAAAGCACACTTTATCGCGTTGGATGGTTGATTTGCTGTTAGCTTGCTCCGGGTGTTCGGGTCATCGACATAGCCGATTACAACCACAAGCGTTCGACAAATGCCGTGTGTCCTCTAAACGGCATTACCTGCCATACATGATCTGATATCAAGGGCAAGCGCTAGCGCTGAGTAGGAAAGTGAGGAGGCCAAATTTTAAACTTGAAAGGACATTTGACAGCGACTTTCGCCACTACGCCACGACTTTCGCCCCGCCGCACCGCCGCCGCATCGCCGCCGCTGCTGCTCCTGATATACATACAGACATTTGAGCACATGTAGGATGTGGCGTCGATGCCATTGCAGTCTCGTGATGCGCAGTAACATCTGACGCAGCTGAAACGCAGGCAGGCAGCAAAAACACAGGCGGGCACCAGCCCCACGGGACTGCTGCCCCATTACGCCGATCCTGTCAGGGTCTCCACCTAAGCTGCACACAATTGGTTTCAGCAAGGAAAACCCGCACGTGACCCGCATGTTGCCCAAAAGCATCAGTTATGGTGAACTCTTTAGCAGCAAAGCATGAGAAGCTTGAAATCATGTTCTTATGACCTCCTTATGACGGTACAACTTTATGAGGGCGGCTTTTCAGTGGCGGCTTGAGCTGATCTCGAGCTAATAATGCCGTTGCTTAATCATTTCCACCATTAGCCCCCTCTGTCGGGGCTTGTCTGTCCCAACCCGCCCGGTTGTGCTCTCAGCAGTGTGCTCCCGGACGTTTGACGGCGGTTGTGGGTGTGGTTGCAACTCTGCCGGTTTGAACGAGGAGTTAACCCACGAGCTACTGGCCCAGTGTGGAAAAACAGTTGTGTAGCGCTGGTTGGCTGCAGCTGGAGCTGGGGCACTTGGGGAAGCCTCCGCATGGAGGCCATGAGAAACTGAAAAGCTGGGACATCTTCTGGAAACCCCATTCGCGTACAGAGTGTTCCTGTCCGGCCGCACAAGTGTCAATTTGTCAGAGGATTTGTAGCCATGCAAATATTCGCTAGATTTGTTTGCATTTCAGTTTGTGGTGTTTACAGCTGTAACACTGCGGTGGACCCCGATCGGGTCGCATTGTGGGCCTTATTTAAATAAAATTCGGCCGAGGCTGTATTAAATTTGCAGGCCATTACGCTTCAGCTAGTAAACTCAAAAGTAAAAAAAGAATGCAGTTCCAGGCAATTCCTGCCCTAAATCCTGATGGGGGAGTTCATTAGGGCGCAGTACTCTTAGCAGACTCTCCAAGCGTGCAATACCTGAGCCGTTCCCTCAGGATAGTTTCATGCACAGATTTATTTCCTCTCCGCCATCATCTATCGGTGGCATAGACAACGGACTAACGCCACTGACAGCCGACCAGTTGATTGTATGGCAGGTTCCTGCACCTTAGCAGCTGAGTGCGGCATCCGGAAACCACGTATAATGTCAACCTCCTGCCTTTCGACGCGATGTCCATAATTTACCCAGTTTTTCCATAACTTTTTAAAAGCTGTGCTGCTGGTATTTCAATATGTTTAGGACTCCAACCCAGCTTTGTTTGGTGCCCATATGACATTTTGTTTGGTGCCCATATGACAAGGCAAAATACGATGACAACTCGGGAGAAATGTTGGCGTTGGTTGCGGCATTGGGCGTGCTTCAACTGCAGGGGTGATAGCGTCGACTCACTGGAAATTCATAGGCCGGTCCCATGCGATCCTAAAAATATTTGCTGCTGCTCCATGGTTGGACGTCCGGGTGCCGCGTCATCTTTCGTTCAAGGAGATGCCGAGATGGCTTCTCCGCAAGAATTATCACCGGCCTCACGCCTTGCACCGCATCAAGGAGACGTCCTACGATGCTCAGAGGATGACGCATTAAATGAGTTGCAGTCTCAACAGGTCTACTGTGAGGAGATGAACGAAACGGCTCACTTCATCGAGTCTATGCTGTCAGATATGAAAGTCCGAGCCCTTGTCATTACGACCTTGGACACAGCTGCTTCCCTGCACTCGCTGTTGTCTTCAATCCAAAGCGAAGATGCGGCGGCCATAAACTCACCAAACATCGTTTTCGATTGTGGAAGTAAGTGTACACTCGCGCGGTACGGCCCCTGAAGCAGCAACTGAGCAATCTTTTTGCTGTTTTCAAAATAACTTCGTCTGGCTTCTGCCAGATGACGGCGATCACACCGGCGCGGAACTCCAGCGCAAAGCCCTGTCCCCATCAGAAAGCTGTCCTGCTTGTTCGCACATGACCGGGACCGCACGGACACCACCCGACTTGATCCGGCCCAGCCGCTGCCCGCTTTCAACCCCCGGCACCCGCACTGTCGCCCTACCGCATCGCACGCATGGTTTCCTCCGCGCACATGCCCCCTGACCCACACTCATCAGCCGCATCATGGAATCCCTCCGTGCAGAGTCCGCTCTCCCCGGCAAGTCGTCCAGCGCATGCATTACAGCAGCTACGGCTATGTGTCCCACAGCCGTGGCGGACCTGGTTTCGGATTCCAGCTGTAGTGGTGATGGTGGATTACCCCCCGATGATGAGATCAGTGAGGGAATCGGAAGTGATATCCAGCTAAGCGTCGCAGCGATACCTGCCCTGCAAGTAGCCACCAGCTGCGGTACGTGCGTGCATGGAGCTGGAGATGATGGTGACCGTCAGCTGGGTGCGGCTCTACTAATTGAGAAGACGGCGACCCCGTCAGCAGGCGCAGCCCGTAGTCACTCCACCAGCCCCGGCAGCAGCAGCAGTAGCAGCAGCAATACCACAAACAGCAGTAGCAGGTCCATTAGCCGTAGTGGCACGAAGGCTGCAAACAACGGTGCTGGTGGTGGTGTCATTGACGACGGAGACCGAGGCGTACACCTTCCGCGATGCCCGGAGCTACCAGTTACCTTAACCACCCCGCAGTCCCTCCTCCACGACTTCTCAGAGCTCACGTGCCTGGGTTCCCCGGGGGCTCTGGGCGGCATATGGCTCGGTGAGCAGGGTAATCCATGAGTTACAAGGGAGTGTCTTTTCTATGTATGTCTCTATATACCTCACCGTTCATAGCGCCGCCTTGCCAGGACTTGGGACAACTGTGTCCGTCACTAGGTGTTTTCATCTGGGGCGTATGGACCGTGCTGGGGCATATGTGCCGTGTTCCCGTCCGTGATGGTGTTCTCTTCGAAACATACGCCGTGGTGTGTGTCTGTGTGTCTGTCTGTCTGTCTGTGTGCATGGGTTGGGGAGAGACGGGGGAGGAGTTGTTGATCCACCGTTATCATCATCGTTATCATCATCGTCATCATCAACATCACGCCTTGAACATAAAGAAATAAATGAAAATAGAGCATTGGAAATATTTTGAAGAACGAAGAATTATAAGGAGAACCTTATTAGGACAGTGACCTTCTCGTGGCTTCTTGTAGCCCGGTGTGGCCACTGGAGCTGTTCGTTTGCAGTGATGCCAGTTACGGTTACGAGATTGCCGGGGGTTGACATCCATGTCCGTCTCACAACCATACCGCCCAGTCACTTCCTCTCCCCTTCACCACCTTTAGACGCCGGCATTTCATTTCTGGTTTTCTTGCGTATGATTTCCCCCCTCTCTTCCCCCGCGTGTGCGGTGCCACGTTACTGTGCACTCTGCTCGTCGTTGTTGGCAGCGGACTGGCGCGGCATGCGTGTTGCCGTCAAACTGACACGCTGCGACAGCGAGGGGTGCAGTACGAAGGGCGGCAGCGACAAGCTGCTGCGCACCCTGGTGCGGGCCAGTCGCCTGCAGCATCCCAACCTGATCAACGTGTATGACTTGCGTGTAGCGACAGTCGACGAAGAGGCCCTTTCAGAGCTGGACCCGCCGCCCGTGTTGCGTCCTGGCTGGACAGGGAGCTGCCGACCCACGGGTCGCCTCCATCGCTTCCTCGCGGCGCATCCTGAGCTACCCCGGCCAGGTGCGGGCCATGGAACAAGAGGAAACCACCCTTGCCTTCTCCACGGCCTGCCGCGGGACGCGGCGCCGTTACCTCTATATGGGGCTTTAGGTTAAGCACGTAGCAGTCTAGCGTGTGGGTTCGCGGCTCGCGTGGGCCTACTTGGCAAGTTGGAGAGTATGGATGGGACTATGAGAAACATCCGGGGGTCCGTGTTTTCATAAGGGCCCGAGCCTCTGCTGTCGCGCATGGATTTGTTAGCCGCATCGGAGGGCGCATGCAGGGCATTCTTAGCCCCTAGTCTAGCTACCTAGCTATCTATCTATCCCCTACCGCGCGGTGCTGTGTGTGTCTTGCAGGGCCGAGGGGCTCCTCCTCAAAGCTTGCGACGATGACACGAACCACAACGAGCAGCTCATTCTTTAATCAGAGCACAAGGTTACCTTGAACCTAGTTATCCTGGAATGCAGCACGTGCAGGCCGCTTTCACATGTCAGACATTTTTATGCCTCGTTAGTCTCACACATCACAAGCATGCATGAAAAACCTGCTTCTCGCTGCAGAGCCTGACTACCGTCGAGATGCTCCACTGACGCTGTACCCGGGGGATATCATCGCTCGGCGGCCAAAGCTGACTCAGGTGCAGCAGGCGCTGATGGCGGTGCGACCAGGGCTGGGCAGCAGCGTGGTGGCAACCGTGATGGAGTACTGCGAACTGGTAAGGGGCAGTAGACTAGCAACATAACAACAGCAGTAGCAGCAATAGCAGTAGTGGTAGTAGTAGTAGTAGTAGTAGTAGTAGTAGTAGCAGTGGTAGTACAGGGTTGTGCGGTCTGTGGGTTATACCCGCGGGGGACATGACATGCAGGGAGGAAACGGCGTGCACTGCCTATAGTCCTATTTAAGTCGTGCTGAAATATAGAATGTATTTTGTATGCGCACGGGGGAACAAAGGGGACAGGGGTGCAACCTTTGGCATTCCCTCGTATAGACTCCTGGTCTGCCTTTGGGAGACCAATCCCAACCCCAACCCCAACCAGGCACCGTCTGTCTTTGAAATACACACCGCACCAACATGCACTCACTCACACCCGCACTCACCCAACACCGCACCAACAGGGTAGTCTGCAGTCCTTGGCGTGCAGCGATCGGTCCCCTTTCCGCGCCAGCCGCTTCTGGGTCGCCCGCGTGGCGCGGCGCGCACTGCTTCGCACAGCCCGAGAGATCGCTGCCGGCATGCGCGCCCTCCACGCCGCCGGCATCACTCACGGTGCGCTGCGTCCCTCCAATGTGCTGCTCAGCCGCTCAGCAGCAGATCGCCGCGGCTTCATGGCGCGAATAACGGATGTGGGATCCATGAGCCTGTCGTACGCCGCCTCCAACCCACTGGCGTTTGGTCCCTGCATGGTGCTGCTGCCGCCTGAGGTTCTGGGGGACAACACGGTCGCGGTGGACAACGCTGCGGTAGACGTGTACGCGTTTGGCATGCTGCTGTACGTCATGGCTGCTGGGGAGATGCCATTTCACGGCCGGCCCCTAGGTAAGCGAGTGGGCGCTAATAATGCGTTTCCTGTGCGGAATGCGTGCAAGAGGGGTGCTCCTGCAATCTCCTTTATGCACTCTCCAGGACGACCAAAGTCGTTGCATCTTGATTTGCCTCCCTCGCTGTCCGCGCCTCTCACTTTCTCTGTGCATGCGTCCCCGCTCGCCCCTGCGCGCCGGGTTGCAGTGCAAGCTTTAATGGCTGTGGTGTCCGAGGGCCTGCGGCCGGAGTGGCCCATGTGCGAGCATGCCCCCCTGAAGCCCCTCTTCCTGCGCTGTGTGGCTCAGCGGCCGGACGAGCGCCCCAGCTTTAAGCAGGTGCGGTCTCTGTGCTGTGCTGTGGGTGCGTCAGTGCGGAATGAATGGAACCTGCTGGAGCTTAGCATCCCTTGCGGCGGCACTGGTGGAGATGGTCCGTGGATGTCAACAAGGCACGGCACGGCCTGTCCGCACATGTCTTTCTCTGTCCTCTCCTTTCTTCTTCTTTCGCGCTTTGATTACATCTTTCATTTTTATTATGAAGTCCATTTTTGAGATTTTTTATTTCTTTATTCCTCCATCCTGGAACCTGGAATTATGAATTCTGCAGATTTTGGCGGAAATCTGCATTTTGGAGCAGCAGATTAAAGGCGAAGGGCGGGGAGGCAGCAGCCCAGGCGCCCGATCTCCCGGCGGCAGGTGTTGTGGCGCGGCGTGGTGCGGTGCGCCCGCAGGAGCACCGCGACACGGCGCGCCTCGTCAATTGCCGCTGGCAGGCGGCTGAGTAAGCACGGCTCAACAGCGTGAACGGACGGCCCGTAAGCGGCGCTGTGCGAGGAAGCCGCCGGCGCCGGGTCTTGTGACTACAACCTGGGCAGCGCTGCTGCGCTGTCCCACTGAGCCTCTTGCTCCATCAACGACGTTTGCTCCGCCTGCTGCTACAGGATCCCTTGTCTCACCCGCGCCTTGTCACATACACGCAGATTCCGGGCCATGCTCTGGCTACGCTGTCTGGCTGCCTACGTCAACGCTCCTGCGCCACGTGGGTTCGACGACATATCATTACCATATGCATATATGCATGTGTGTATGTACTGTAATAATATTCTCGTGCTGTGCATATGTTTTGTTATGATCTTCATTGCATGAAAGCCCGTACGAGCACAGCATTGTGAAGGTATATAAGACATGTGTCTTACTTGTGAGGTGGAGCAATGTGTCCGTGGGTGGGCCACCGTATCCGCCGACCGGGCGGGGAAGCTAGCTCCGTAACATTTCGCAACTGCCGGATGGAGAGGTTGTTATAGCATCAAGTCGGAGCTCGTCGAATTTAAAAGTGCGGAAAGACGTGCTTAAAACGGCGATCGGACCTAGTGGGCCGATGACCTGCATGCGCTTCATGCTGCTGCCGCAGTGCAAGGGCTGCAGAGTAACCACCAGCCCGACTCGACCATGATATTCGTTTACAGGAAAGCGTTTTTGCGTCGCGGTGGATGTGAGACCTGAGGCACGAGAAGAAGTGTAGAAGAGGGGAGCAAATGGCTGCGTGCAGGTTGGGGGAGCCTCCCCAAAACAACTGAATAGATGCCGTCATCTTATTGAGATCTTTGTTGTCGTGCATGTCGTGCATGTGGTCGAGTTGCTTGGGTCTGTGAAGCCGGGTGGTGCATTACCGTCCGGTCCAGTCTGCATCTTGCATAACTACTGCTGCTGCTGCTGCTGCTGGAGGGAGGGCTACGCGCACTGGAAAGATACCGACGAAGAAGCCTTAAAGAGGATGTGAATAGGTGCCGCAATGGCAGCAGAAGACGCTTTGTCCCGCTTTGCCGCAGGGGAGAGGAACGGGTGTAACTCCGCCGGGTGCAGGAAGAGCCGCAGCTGCTATGGGGGTTGCCCGTTCAGGATGGGGGACTGTTGGCTGATAGGCGGTTATTTGTTTTAGGTGGTTGAAAGGAAGGAAGGTGATAAATAAAACCGGTTTCTCTGCTGTGTAGGTGCGGTGCGAGCCACTTGGTTTTTAACTAGTGGATGGATTGCTACATCATATTTCATTTTTCTTTATTGGGTTGGTTTCGTTGTATGTATGTGTGTGTGTTGTGCATATGCAGGAGTTAGATGTGCCCGCTGAGCCCATTTTCGTGCCCGAGCACACTGTTCATCCGTTGGCGGTGATCAATTGTCTACTGCGCTCACACTCCCCTGTGATGATGATGATGCCGTCCCGCGGCTGGTATCGGCTCAGCAGCATCAAGGATTCACGTAGGTGTTGAAAGATCTTGTTTAGGAGGTTGCGGTCGCATCTGTTGCTGCTAAGGTTGAGTGTTGTCGGGCGGGAGCGCCGCAAGTGTGTGATGGATGTCGGATGGAGGAGGTGTTGCGGCGTACGGATTATGTTGAGGGCCGTGTGTTGCGATGGTGGTGGGTGTGAAATCGTGCGCGGGAGGTCTGCTGTGTCTACCTATGCCATTAGCGCTCGACGGAATATGCGGCTCCAGGCTGCGGCTCCAGCTCCGGGTCCTTCGACTGTTCGGGTTGGATGAACTCGGGACTGGTCTTTCGCCTTTTCTTGGCGCTGCACCCGGGCCCCGCATTTGGTTAGCAGTCGAATACATACATATTGTGTGTGAGAGAGAGAGAGAGTGTGTGCGTCTGTGCTATTGATGACAATCCAGAACGGTATTCCTGATGATATAGCTGTCTGGTAGCCCATGGGTGCAGAGCACGGCATGGCGTGGCACAGTGCTTAAACGGTAACTTCAAACCTTATAAACGCCTCCTAAATTCTGCTAAGCGGTGGCTGGTGCAGTTAACCCTACCTAACAACCTCAAATGTATTATATTGCATTGAGCTATATATTATATTGTGCACTGCGTTTGTTCTACGAGATCATATTTGCGTCTCCATTGAATAGAGGTAGTTGTTGGAGATTTCGCATGTGGCTGGTTGTTGGAACATTTTTTTAGATTTCGGTCGGTTCCATTGCGGAGATGATTTGGATGCGCGCCCCTACGTTCCCTGTCGTTCCCTAAATCGCTTAGCTTCACTCGCATCATTCCGAAGCATTCCTTTCCATCTGTCGGTGGGCGTGGTGTCAAAGAATACATCTGTTCATGCGTCCTGAATGGCACCAGGAGCGTAAACAAGTTTTTTTTGCGTGGCCGAGGTCTTTTCCCAGCCGTGGCCAGCCAGTTGGCTCGACGGAGTGCCACAGCCGATAAATTTACAGGCTTGGACTGCGAAGTGCAGAAGCATCCTCGCCCATGTCACGTTGCGCTGGGACGTTGCGTGCGTGCTTCTGAGGCTATGGCTGGTACAGCGGGACTTGCCACATTGCATTAATGCTCGTAGTCTGCTGCTGCTGCTGCTGCTGCTGCTGCTGCTGCTGTAGCAATGCTTCGTCGGCGTCAGGGAATTCTTACACACCTGGTCGGCAGTCGGGGTCCCAGCGCGCAGCTGTGAAGCGTGTATGTGTTTGTTTGTGCCTCTGCCTCGTCAGCTGGGAGGTCGTTGTGGGTTTTGTGGGGTCCCATAGGAGTCCAATAGGAGTCCCAGTGGGGGCCAGGTCTGAGGGGGCGGATCTGTCCAAGAAACAAATGCCGACGCTTGTGCCCTCGACTGGCCCCATCATCCTCCAGTCCTCCAGACGGAGGTGGTTTAGACGTGAAAGAATGACCGGGTTCGCTTCCTGGGCGGTGTGTGTGTGTGTGCGTGCGTGTGTACGTGTGTATTGCCGGTAAGCAGCAGAAAGGGGTCTAGGACGAGCTCCATGTCTTTTGTATAATCCCACCAGCCTATGTGCCCCTAACGAGGGTTAGAGGGACATTGTCTTCCGAGGGGTGCGAATTGCGTATTGTTATGGCTTTTGTGGATGGAGCTTGTATCCCTTTTTGTAGCTATCATCAACACAACGGCGCATGCGAGATGCATATAGTTTATTATGCCAATGCAATTCTCTCACCATTATGTTGCGCACCACTTCCGGTGCTGCGTTGTGCTGCACCTTCTTTCCATTGTAGTTTAGCGCGCGCTTGGGACCTGCAGTGCCTCTGTTGGGGCCGCACTGTCTGGTGTTGCCATGGAAGTCAGGTCTGGCTCTGATTTGAGTATTGTGGTTGTTTTTTTTATGGCGGTGATAATAATTCGCTGCTGCAGGCTTTGCTTTCGCAGGTGCGCTTTAATTGTGCATTGTCATGTCGTAATGGTGGCAATAGTTGGCCATGGGTTGAGCGTGTTCTTCTTCTGGCCATATTCAGCCATTTGGTGGCGACTATAACAAGTATACATAGCGGCCGATTGGCCCTTTTAAATACTGTGGTGATGTCAGTGGTGATCGAGATGTGGTGCAGTGCTGACATGACTGGGGGTGGGGAGTGGGGAGTGGGTTCATGCCCGACGAAACCTGCTTCCATCCAAGGGCTCAGTTCTGCGGACGTTCCATTTGCCACCCGTTGCTGTTGTATCCCTTTTATGTGCATGACAAGCCGGGATGCTGCTGGAGGTACTGGTTTCACGGCTTTCTTTTCCTTGTCCTTGTGCCGTGCGATGTGTGGCATGCTGTCAACGTGGGCGTGTTGTGCCTCGTACGGGGTACTGCTGCGCGGAACGGAGGGTTCCTTCCTTTCCCCACGTTTCCCACGTGGACTGCATGGACTGTCGTTCGTGTATGCCTGCAAGGGCAAGGCATCACGTACGTTCTTTTGAAAGTCCTCTGGATAGCTGGGCTCGCTGCAAACAGCGTTATTTCTCCCATCTGCATGTGGGTAGCCTGAGTTTACAGGGGAAGTTTCGCTGTGTCAGGATTCGCACTCCCCCTGCGCACGCGCTGGCCATGGCGCTCACCGGGACATCTCCAAATGATGAACTAGATCATTAACATGCATGCTCATTATTTTGAACTGGTTTTTAAAATTTGGCATGGGCTTGATGCTGGCAGGAGTTGCCAAGGTAGTGGCTTGTCAAAGGAGGCAGCAAGCCTGCATTTTACACAAGATCACACCAGATAGCTGGCAGCCCAGCCGCTCCGTCGAAATAAATAACGTTAGACAGTCGATCCGACTGGCCCAGCAATCCGCGCTGTCAGCTCCCAGAATATTAGTCCTTTGCTCTGGCTTGGGCGCGGGCGTGCTACAGGAGCTCTCGTACAGCTGGATTCACTGGCGTCATCAAACCTGCAAACCTTTAATGATTCTGTAGCGGTGTCTGCGACTGAACCTCGACACATGGACACTGTATTGGCGACCAACTTGCGCGTAATGATTCGGCGGCTGGATAGCTTGTGCTTGTGCGGTTTGATTGGATATACTAGATGCTTCCATCTGTACGGACCGCTATGATAGTTGGTGATAGATGCTAGATTCAATCAATTATTGGTAGATTCAGTTCTATTGCGGATGTGTTCTCTCTCCGAGCGGGATTCGGGAACAGCTTCATGAGCTCCTCGTCAGCAGTCCATTGCCCTAGTAGTCGACAGTTAATAGGGCTGTCCTAACTCCCTCTGAGCAACCAGAAATCCTTGGGAAATCATCCTTAAATAATGTGGTGTGCCCATCGTCCAAGGGCCAGGATGACCGCCTAACGCGGTCTCTGGTTGGGTTTGAGATTTGGCGGGCCGGCTTCAGCCCACAAAGGGTGGAGGGTGATGCGGTCGTGCATCAGCAATCCCTTCCTACGATCAACGTTTCGGAGAATATGGATGGGCATTCGTCACTTTTGATTCACCTCGCTGTGTGTTCTTTGTGACCAGTGGCAATGTTGAGTCAAAATTAGAACAGTCCATTATAATAAGCCCTTATGAATTGGCGGGCGGCTCACGCCGCGAGGAGTGGATCCGATGGGACGTAGCTCCTGGGCTGCTGGTTGGACCTCCCTCTGCGCCTCTAGGCAAAACGTTAATACTTTAATTCCTAATAATAATTGCCTAATTGGACAATGCTTAATATTGTTTTGCTTTAAGCTAGCAAGTCATATTTCCCTGCAGTCGAAGGAATTGTGAATTGAAGGAATTATTTCCGTGTCATTTCCGTGTAGAGGGGTTTGTCGACGTTTGCCGTCCTCAGGGATTCAGGATGGTGGTTTATTTTGTTCCACAGGTGTTCCAAACGGTGCATGCTTCTGCAAAATTCAGGGTAGGGTTTTTAGGGGTGTCAGAAGTGCTAATAAATCAACTCAGCCGCCATGTGGCGAAGAAACAGTTCCTCAGCGGCTACCTCAAAAAAGGTTGCGCCGCCGTCTCCAAGCTGTGACAACCTACCCGTGGAGCGGCGATAGGCGAGAGTATGGTATTCGCGCATTGCGTTTGCAGCGTTTGCGTTTTGGGGCGGGTTGTGCACGGAGTGTGTCTCAAGCCAGAGACGTATACCATTTGCAAGAGGGTTGCGATGCACTCATGGAATGGAAAGGTTCCTGCAGGTCCCTGCAGGTGCAGATCCGTCATCTAACGCTGCTATGTTGGATGCGCGGCTGTGAACTTTTAAATTTATTTGAAGTCACATGTGCGCTGTTCTACCTTCTTAGGCAATCATCAACTTGGGATTTCTACCGTACCGTACAGCTAACAATTTACGGATCCAACCTAAGACTTCCCTGGGCTGCGCTGATATAGCCCTGTTCAAACTTTAGGCAAACGTGCCACAGCTAATAGATTATGCTCTTGTATCTTTATGAAGGCATCGGGGCAGCAGTTAGCCGGTTACCAGTATCTTATTTGTGTCCAACTGGCGAAGCAATCGTAATGCCAATCACTCAGCGGTATTTATACAAGATGCACTGGGGCATAGGAGTCATTTTCGGAAGGAAAAACCGATTAGGACAGCCAGATGACCTTGGAACAACCTGGACACTTAAGGAATACCGTACTGCTACGAATGTTTCGCGCCACACCTTTCGTTTTGGGCCACGAAGTGTGTCACAGTGGAAAAAGCTCTATGGGGAAAATTATTTACTTGTAGCGAAAATGTCTGGCACGAATGTGTTGTACGCCGTGTACATGGTGTAGAATCGGGGCGTTTGGTAAACCGCACCTGACTTTGGTGCCGCACCAACGGGCCTGTCTTTTGTTTTCTGCGTAAACATATAGTAAACGATATGTCCAGCAGTTTGGGAGCTTTGACGCTGTCGCTCCGTGTTGTGGCTTCCCTGGAGCCCCGCGAAATGTGTGTTCATGTAAACAAATGTGTGCCATAAAAACTGACAGCCCTCGCGAATTGGTGTAACAAAACGAAAAATTCCAGCTATATTTTTGGGGTACCCGCGAAAGGTGTGGCGCGAAACATTCGTAGCAGTACGGTACGCCAAAATCAAAGGTTTCGCAACGCATTACAGCGGCGGCTTTGGCTACACGGCATTTCCGCTGTTGTGGGGGCAGGGGCAACGAGAGGAACAGTACCTACCAGTTGCGTAGGCAGCAAAGAAGTGGCCCAGTATATGGGCGATGGATTTCAAAGAGTTGTTCGCCGGCACGCCGACGTTGCGGTCCAAGACACCAGCCATAGCCTATACAGGTGGGAATGGCTGGGGCTAGCCCTAACGGATAGGGGCTGCTGTTGAACCTGCACGGGTTTGAAAATAAAGCTCCGGGGTCGGAGGCAGAGGCCAGAGGAGGAAGCCCGCGGGAGTATTTCATGCAAGGAGAGAGAATGACATGGCAGATGAAGCAACGTGCCCAGGGCAGCTCGAGTCCCTTAGCCAAAGTAGAGTGTGGAGACGTGGCGTGTCAGTGCCATGGCTGTGTGACTTCCAAGATTCTGGATTGAATATTGTGCTCTTGCAATATATTAACGGAAAATCCTGCCTCTCTTATTGCATTAATGCGCCAGGCCTCTCGTAGAAACGTTCAGGGTTCAGAGTGCCGTACACAGGTAACAAGGGCATCACGATTACTTGTCGGAGTGCGTTCAAGTTCACAGGGTATATGGTCTTATGGCAATGCACATGAATTGTTACGCTTTTTGGTTAGGGCGGCCATCATGTATACAGGTGGATAGGGCATTCCTCGTGTAGGCCTGAGGTCATGCCGGTAGAGGGCTTTCTGTAAGATTACATGTTGTCGTAGCCGCACAATGTTACGAACGAACAAATCATTTATTGGTAGCAAGAACAGAGGATTTTTGAGCGGACGCCCTTCCCTACCAAGAAAGTTTTTTCAGGTCGCTGCTGCTGGGCGATGGACGCTTGGTAACCTCTTCGATGCTTTACGGAACAAACCTCTGAAACAGGTGCGCGTTCCAGTTGAATGATTTATTGCTTTTTAGTGTCGCTCCTGTGGACCATATCACGCGCTGACCACGTTTTCATCTTGTGTTACAGCTAAATGAGCAAACGTCGTCAAATTACGATACAAATCGCTTGGTGGTAGAGGAGCAAGCCCGGCTTCCTCTGCCGCCGACGTTCCAATGCCTCAGTTCTGAACTTATCGTATTGCTAGATCCCAAGAACGAGCGTCTCGTGTACCTCCTGAGCGTGGATAATGCCTCAAGCGCAGATGACGTGGCAGTTCAGGTACCTACTAGTCTGACGCCTTGCTGGGTTTGTTTGCTGGGAGGGTAACGCGCTCCTCTCGCGACGAAGAACCCCGTCCTTCAAGTCCGCGTCGGTAGGCACAAGCACTAGAATCCGCATGTGCATGCGCAACCCCCCAAGGCTTCTGGTACTCGGTTGAATGTATCACTGGAGGCATACACCCTCCCAACAGCGATCAGGTCCTTGCGGTCAGGTCAGCCACCATCTCCCCGGACTTGCTTTCCTCCCTACCTTTACTCGCCAACACATCCCCCTTCCCTCCTTTCCTCCGCGCCCCAGATGCGGGGCCTCCTGCAAGCAGCTGCTGCGCCCTACGTGCACCTGATGGCGTTGCCAGCGGGCCTCCGACGCAGCCTGCTGCGGCAGGTGGGTGGGGAGCCTGGGGTGCCTACTGCTAGAACGAAGACGCACTTTACATGAGGCGCATCACCATGAATGGATGGATGGATGATGGTCTTAGTCGTCCTGCAGCCCGGAACCATGACTGTAACAGTGGAAATTATGATGTGGAAATGATTAATTGTTATCTATTCTGCCGCGGATTCTCACAGTATTACATTCTTGTAATTGTTAAAGGCGCACGGTGGACCGCCCGGGATAAAGGCGGTGTAGACGAGCGCTCAGTAATCTTCTTCTCACTGGAACACTAAACCGCACTTAAGCACCCCGAGCTCTTACCATCAACGTACTTCAGTCGAGGGGAAGCGCCGGCAAGGTATAGCCTCGCCAAACCCCACCCGTCCGACCTCGCCCGCCGGGAACCCGGCAGGAAACCTTATATTCTTTCCGGCACTCATGCCCCAACCCCGTCTCCAAAAGAACATTTTAACTACTGCCTCCTCCCCCCGCCCCAGCTGGTGGGTCTTGCACGCCGCGAGTCCTCTTACGTGTACACTGCCCATTGTGTTTTCCGCTCTATCACTCGTGGCCAGTTTCCCGGCGGTCAACCGGTCATCACGCAAGTACCGTTACCGACGGATCTGGCGACAGCTTTGCAGCACCAGCACCAGCAGCTGGGGAAGCAGCAGCAGGGGAAGGTGCCGCTGGAAGGGGTGTCGTCGTCGTCGGCGGCGGGGGCTGTAGAGCCGCACCAGGAGGAGGGCCCCCAGCGGATCCCACAGGACGACGGAGGCGGGTTGTCAGGAGAGACAGAGGAGCGCGAATCCCCATCTGGGTCGCGCACATGGGCACCCGGCGGTGTGCTTGAGCTGCTGTACGGCTCATCGGAGCTGCAGCCCGGCGGACTGGTGGCAGAGGGCGCAGCCGCACACGCATCTGCGTCCGCAGGCAGGAAGGAGCCGGAAGCGGAGGTGCTGGACGGTGGCAGGGATTTGTGCGAGCGGGACCTCCCTGACGGGGTTCTGTCCCGGCGGAAGGCAGTGGGGCGGCTGATGGCGTGGCACAAGGTGATCGTGGAAGGGTGTGGGGGGGAGAGACATGCATGGGAAGTCTATGCGAGTCCTCCGGGCGAGGTGGCCCGCTGGCGAAGGAGCGGGCGAAGCAGTGCAGCCTGGGGGAAACCTGTCATGGTTGGCGGATTAGTAAGAGTGGAAGGAGCAATGTTGGCCGGGCTGAGTACCGGGCCGGGGAGTTGAGGGCAGAGCTGAGATAGAGGCGGCGGCTTGTGCGTGCAGCGGGCCAAGCAAGTATCCAGCGTTCCTTAACGCCACGGCAGGGGCGCATTTTGATGTCCAAAATGCGCCATGTCCAATATATACGCCGAGTATGCGTCTACGTTCGGCGTTTTTGCGCCCCCAGCCGAATCTGCTTGGCCTTTTCTTCGCGTCCTCACCCTCGAGTGCTGTGTATATGCTGTGGTCGTCCAGTACAGTCCAGTACAGTAGATCTTCTTGTTGTCCTTTTGGAGATGTAGCTGCTTGGTTAGTCATCCTCCTGGCCGTCAACCGACCCGTCGATCCCGTGATCGTTCCCCCGGATGCAGGGCGCGTCCATGCGCGTGGCCTGCCGCCGCAACGAGCGCACGAAGTACAAGTTCGACTGGCTTATTCAGGGCTTGAACAGCATCGACCAGCTCAGCGTCGCGGTGATGACGCCCAACATTATCCTCCTCCGGAACAACGTGGAAGCAAACCTCGGAGTGTGAGGGGGCCTGAAAGCTGCGCTGCGCGGGTTGGGGCGCTTGGTCTGCACCTCGCTGAGTTCACTGGGCCCTCTTGGGAAAGTTAGCGGGGCAGGGAAGACGCGGCGCTGCTAGTCACCGTGTTTCGTTACAAACGTGGCCGGCCTTGGGGTTGAAGTAGCGGCGTGGCCCCTGACGTCGTGGACACATAGCGAACGAGGGGCGATGTCGGGAGGTCGTTTTCGTACCACATACCCAGTAGGGCTCATTCCACGGACCCGTGAAACACACGTGAAGCACTACAAGAGCTGGCGACGATTGACGCCAGGGGAAGAACCTGGGGATCGGAACCACAGCTTGGGTTTTTGCGGGAGAACGGTGTTGGGGAGGGGCACCACACGCAGGGGCTACTTACTTTTGGAGCTAGGACGGGCTCACGCGGCTGTTGTTTCTTTCGTTGTGTATATTGCTTGCGGGGAATAATTCTAACGTGCAGGAGGCCTTACACACACATGCCATGCTGTCTGGATCGTTTGAGCAAGATACTGTTTCCGTGTGCTGCTCGCGTGTCCCCCGCGGTTTGGTTGCAGTGACGATTTGTACAATATCTTGGATGGGGAGAGCGACGACGACGACGATGATAATGATGATGACGACGGCGGCGAGGGCGGCGGGAAGGTAAAGGTGATCAAGCTGCAGGTTGACGGCTCTGAAGGCCTGGCGCAGGGCCTTGCGGAGGTGTTGAAGGTACGTGCCGGCCGCCTGCACCCTTGTGTACCGGGTATAGGGCGCGATTGCGGATCCTTAGGCATGATACTGCCTGTAGCCAGCCATCTTACCTCCACATCCCACGGGGCCCACGCGACCACAGACCGGCAGACCCCTCTCTGTTCTGGAAGCAGCCCATCTTAGAGCCCATAGTTATCTTAGAGCGGTACATGAGGTTGTTAGGGTAATTTCTGATGGCATGATTGCATATGCAGCACGTCCAACGCTGCACGGACCGCGCTGCGTTCCTGGATGTGCTATGTGGTATGAGCACCCATAGAACGGCGATGTTTCTCTTGGTGGCCCTGACGCCGCACCCGTACGCCCCCGTGAGGTAGAGCGCAGGGGCTCTTCAACTATCTCCTCTTATGGATCAGCCTTGTGCCCGTGTGGCCATACGTGTGCGTAAAAAAAGGACATACGTGTGTGTATGGCCATACGTGTGCGTGCGTGTATGTCTGTATGTCGGCACGTTTGTAAAGCCGTGTTTTGTTCCATGTGTTTCGGCCGGCACCGCTCACTTGCTCACTCACCCGGACCTCGCGGGGCAGGCCATCGGCGCGCAGGGGGATGCAGTCAGCGACACCGAACAAAGTGGGGATAGTGACGACGAGGACGAGGACGAGGACGAGGACGAGGGGGCCAATGTCATTGAGGTTGAAGACTTTGCCGAGTTGCTCTCCATGCTCGCCAACGACAACGACAGCGACAATGACGAAGAGGTGGACGTTGATGACGGCGATGGCAACGACGCGGAGGCTTCTTCTTCTTCATCCGATGACAAAGGACGGGAAGACGAATCCCCGAGCGACAACCTCCTGGCTAGGAGCCTCCTCCGCAATGGGCAATTCCGGGAAGTGATGCCGGGCGTCTTTGTCCAGGTGTTGGACGGCGGGGTCCGGCGCGTCCCAGCGGACGGCGATGACGGTGACGAGGTGGGCTATAGCGGCAGCGGCGGCGGCGGACGTGAAGGTGGTGTAGAGGAGGACGACGGCGATGGCCAACATGAGTGGGATATGTCCACCACGCTAGATGTGCAGCTGTCGCCGGGACCCATGGGTTGGACGGCGATGGTGAGAGTTGGGGTTGGGGCCGACAAAGACAAAGACGGGCGGACAGACGGAGGCGACGCTGCAGCCGGTAGCCGGAGGCGTGACGCGCTACGAGAAGCCCTTCGAGGTGAGCGCAGACCTGAGGGGCCTTGGGGTTACAGTGACGGAGGTTTGGGTGCATACTCGCTCTCTTCTTCGCCTTTTACAAAACGACTGTCTGCTGACATCACCTGCCAGCTACTACTACCACTGCTAGTACATACAACCTGGCGCGCCAACCGTGCATTGTTGTGAAAAGCCTACCGCAGCTGCTGGCTGCGCGTGATAGCGTAAATGGATTGGTTTACATTGATTGGTGGAGTCATTGGAGTTGATTGATTTATTGGTGGGGCGACACCCCACCCCCTAGCTAGCCCCCCAACCCGTATCTGAAACTCCCATGGTTGTGGTCCGCGGTTGCAGCCGATGCGGAGCACCTCCAAAACATCCGGCGCCTGGAGGCGTTGTGGGACAAGCAAGTGGGGGAGGACAGCCCACAGGAGCAGCAGCCTCACCAAGGGCAGGGGCAGCAGCAGCAGGAGGAGGAGGCGGTTTCAGAGCCAGGAAGTGCAGCAGCTAGCCCAGCACCTGCAGCGCGGCCACAGGGCACCTCCGGGAACCAGGACGGCAGTGGCGTCAGTGGCGCGGACGGCCTCAACAGCAGGGGGGGCCTGGAAGCGGATTGGCGGCAAGCAGAGCGCCGGGCAGCTGCAAGGGGCGGCTCTCCGGGACGGGGCTTTGTAGATTTCCCACCGGGAGGTGGTGTCGGCGCCGCGGCAGCGCTAGGGGCCGTGCCAACGGACCGGCTGATGGGGCCCCCCAGACGGACCGGGACGGCTGGTGCAGGTGCGGCTGCTTCTGGTGCCGTTGGAGGGACAGCAAACGGGGATGAGCCGTGTGGAGAGGCTTCCGTAGCTGGGCGAGTCGTACGGGATGAAGGTGGAGCTCCGGACTCCCCATCCACAACCGGGGATTCGACCGCCGATGGGTTAATTTCCAGCACAAGGTCTAGGAGAGGAGCCACTGCGGAGGGGCTACAACGTGGCAAGGGAGACACGGGACCGGCAGCTACGCATCAAGCGGTGCCAGGGGAGGGCGAGGAGGGCTCAGATGCTGGTACTGACGGATTAGTAGCGCGCCCGCGACCCGTGGGTCGCTCTCGCATGGTACGCCGGCCTCGTGGGCGAGTGCGTATGGGCCGCCAGTCGCCGGACCCCCCGCCGGCTTCCAATGCCGCTGAGACGGGGACTGCCGCCTCACTGCCCGCTTCTACATCATCGCCATCCGCACCCGGCAAAGAGGCTGGAGGTCCCCATGACCCCGCGGCCACGACCGGCGCAAGCGGCAACAACAGCACTAGCGCTGGTGACGCTGTATCCATTCCTGCATACCGGCACATGAAGCAGGTACCGGGCAGCGGCGGCGTGGCTGCTGGCACGGACGTTGGCGTGGGTGCCACTGGGGCTCCAAGTAACGGTAGTCGGCAAACTTGGGGAGGCAGGACGGGCCCAGGAGCGCCAGCGCCGCAAGGGGCTGGCGGCAGCGGTGGCGGTTCTGGCTTGCCGCCTGAGGCTGCCGGATATGCCGCCCTAGATCTGGAGCAGCTGGCGCACTTCGTGTTGGGCCGGCAAGCCAGCCCCGAGGAGGTCCAGGACCTGGCGCGGGCGGTGGCGCAATCGGCCGAAGTGGAGGAGGCCTTAGGGAACACCAGTACCAGTACCTCCGGAGGCTATCAGCCACACTCCTTCCACCAGCAGCAACAACAACAACAACAGCAGCCGCCGGGTACACAACAAAAGCATCACGGCGCGCAGGGCCTCGGTGGGGATCGATCCGGAAAACACCATCGGCGCCGTCCCGGCACGCGTCTACAGTCATCACGAGAGGCGTCCCTTTCAGCCGGCCGCAACCGCCGCAGCGTCGTAACCCCACGGCACCGGCGGTTGACGATACCCGAGCCGGTCCTCCGGCTAGCGGACTTCATGCAGGTGAGGCAGCGTGAGCGGGGCGGCACGCAGCCAGGCACCACGGTGGAACGGACCGGCCCGGATGATCGTGCGAACATGCCGCCAGTGGCTGAAGGACGCAGAATGCTATCCAAGCTCATGCTTCGTCGCCTCGGCCAGAGGCCCTCCGAAGCGGGCGTCCCGTCAGCGCTGTCTCCGCCGCACGACCTCCATCAGGCGGCGCAGGTGCAGCGGCAGTCATCTGTCATGGACGGGGGGGAGGAGCTCGCGGCGGCCGTGTTGGCCGCATTCCGTACGGCACCGCTGCTGGAACGCCAGGCAGCGGAGGCACTGGTTGACTTCCTGCGCGGGCGGTGGCAACCTGGTCATCAGCGGGACTGGCGACGGGGCCACAGTGGTTACCACGGAAACCAGGAGCGCCCGGGGGTCGCCGAGGTGCTTCGACATGCAGCTGGGCTGCCTGGTCTGGTCCGCGGCCGGGATGCCGTGGTGGTCCTGCCCAGGACACTGCTGGAGGCGACGGTAGGGGCGTGGCAGGAGCAGGAGCAGCGAGTAATGCACGAGGATTATCGGACTGTTGGCCGTCAAGAGTGGTGATATGATGATAACCACACGACACGATGCGGCGATCCTGGGGTGAGGAGGCTGGGTTGGTTCAAACTGCTCAAGGCGCGTGACGGGGGAGTTTGTGTGTGGTGCTGGAGCTGGTACGCGGGCGCGGCACGGGCTTGCTAAATGTGGTTGTGCTTAGGCCACCGTGTAAACGTGTATGTGTATGTCTACGTGTGTACGTGTGTACGTGTGTACGTGTGTGTGTGTGTGTGTGTGTGTGAGAGGGTGGAGAATTGGGGATTTGTTGCGCGTCGGCGCGCGTTTATGTATGTTGGCTTACTGTTGCAGTGGGCTGCAGGCACCTGCTCGTACGTCCCGCTCGCTGGCCTGAGCTCCCCCCGCGGCCTGCAGCACCTGTCTGTATGCTTACCTGGTTTTCCACGGCCCTGAAAGGAGCCAGAAGTGCGCATCGCGGAAAAAAATCTGGCACCGGGCCCCCATCACAACACTATGGATGGGTTTTTGAGTGAGTGTGCGGTGGGGCCACAGCTCAATGTGCATCATGTTGGTCGAAGTTGTAGCCCTCTGCCCTCTGCGCCGTGGCTTTCGTGGTGCTCGTGAAGAAGTCCGGCGGGTAAAGTGAGAGAACTTGGTCGGAGAGTTCCATGCCACTGCTGAAAGGGTGCACTGCTATTCCGTTGGACTTCCAACGGGAAGAAAGCATGGTATGCTTATACGGGCAGACGCGAGCAAAGAAATGATACCGATGAGACTCTGGTTGTTTGCGTCGGGCCGCGCACTGATTGGTTACTTTTTAATACGGCAGGTGGAGCCGTCCTTTTCAGCTTCGGCGAGCTACCGTTGTATACCGAGCACCAAACGTTTTTCGTTTTACCTGAGAGACGGCGGTGGGGTCGCAAGAAGTGCACTGACTTGCGCCAAGTGCCACAGTAGTTGGATTCAATGGCCAAGCCGTTTTTGAGCAGTCGAGTTCAAGAACGGCTTGGAGGTGCCTAGGAGATCCGAGGTGTGTGTGTGTGTGTGTGTCTCTGTTGCCCCGCACATGCGCCGGCGGCACCGGGGGGTTTCCCTGTTTAATTTGCCGGATGCCGAAGAAGAGCGTTGGCTGCATCGATGATAAATTTTGTTGAGATGACCTCGATCAGTCTCTGACCGCAATCCTTAGTGTAGGGTAGTGCACAATTCGACACGAGAGGCGTGCCGAGCTCAAGTACCTCCAGTACGAGTCGTTGCAGGTTGGCTTGGTCCCGTGTGCATCTCTGTGGTTCACGAGGTGAGGGTTGGGTGACATCAAGCGCACAAAGCTAACGGTCGGCTCTCTACACGGGGTTTCCCAGAGCTTTCCAAGGCGCAGGCCACACAGTACCCTTTCCCGGCGTTGCTGTAGGCGCCTGGCTGTGCTGTCTGCTTGCTACCTATTTTGATGGGGACGATGCGCTTAATAGGTCGGCATGCAGTGTTTAATAAATTTGTTAGTAGCGAGTGTACCCGAGGGTTGGATTGGCTGTTGGCTGTGCAAACAGGGTGGTGAAAGCGCATTGCCGCCCTGCGGCAATGCGATGTGGTGGCGGTCCGCTGCCACATCCCCAGCAGCTGACGGGAGAGAGTTCAACGCCTGATGGCGTGATGGGTGCAGCAGAAGGTGTTGGCGCTGTCATTCGTTGCGATGAAGCCTAAGTCGCTCACTCTGTGTGCATGTCATCGCGGGCTATTGCGGCTGTCTGCTGGTCCTATCTGGGGTCGTAGTGATATGTTTGGGTTTAGGTTCGCATTCTGAGCGCTTGTGAGTGCGGCTCTGGAGAGATCTCTCGCAGCTTTGGGGGGAGGCAGTGTCATCCGGGGCTATTGCTTGTTCAGGCCTTCATGTTGGCATTGATACGACGTGCTCATACGGTCATGGTCGCTACTACAGGGAGTGCCATCGGGCAGTGTCAAACCTGGGACATTCGGGCGCTCCGGGGTGCTGTGACAAGCAGGCATGGGGGGAGAGGTCAGGAAGCGGGATTTAGCCAAAAGGCCGAGTGAAGGGAGGGTAGTGGATGGCCCGGGACGTAGGTAAGGTAGGAGCACTGTTGTGTGGACATGAAGAGGTTCTGTTCTTCTCCATCCAATGCAGTGATAGTCCACATGTGGGTGGGTGCTGGAGGCCAATCTGCGCGTTCTTGGCGCGTTGCTGTAGGTTTTTTTATGGTGAAAGTCCATTTTTGTTGGTTGGTTGTAAAAATGCGGCCGCGCTGTCAGGTATGTCTAAAAAATAAAGTAAGAAATTTCTTGGTTTATTAGCATGGCGCTTGCATGGAACCATTGGCCATTATGGCGCTGTCGTTCCCCTGCAGCCCTGTGGGCTGCTGCTCAGACGGGGAACGGCGGCGCGGCGCTTACGGCGAAAAGTGTGTGATGCCGCCGCATAGTATAAGACCAAGGCTCAGGACCACATATGCGTGCCTATTCCCGAATCTAGGCTCTGCTTGCCATAGGCGTCCATCGAAGGAGAAAAGGTGCGCACACCGCGTCGAAGGGAGGGGGCTACAGGAGGACGCCGCAGCATCAGATCCACTAGTTAAGCAGCCCCTCGCACAAATGTGTCCGGTCGTACTTCGCGAATAAAGTGTTCGTACATCGTCCCAAAAAAGCCAGGAGCGAATTTTGCCGCGCAGATGCGCGCGTGCGATTCACAAAATGCGCCTGTACAAGTGTATATAAATTTTCTTGGCGGATGAGGACCACGTGCGCCAGCGCGTGCGCAAGTGGGCATGTTGCCATAGCCGCACGCGGCATGCATGCTGGACTATTGCCTGGATGCTTTGCAGTAACTGAAAGCACCCAATGCCAACGTCCTAGCTTGCAACTCTGGGCTCGTGAAACTGCCGCGGAAGATGAAGCGCTGGCGAAAGAGGCAGTTGTATGCAGCACCTTGTTCAGAGTAAAGTCAAATTACAAAGTTGCACAAAGTATAACATACATAAACTTAATTAAACATAAGAACAGATAAGACGTTTAGAGCCTTGTCGGTGACATGGACGCCGCTGTTGGCTTGGAACAGCTATTTGCTGTGCATAGGGACGTGCCCGCGTTAGCCGTGTTGCAACAGCTCAGGATGGATTTCAGCCAGCAACAGCCTCAAGAGCTGCTGCACAACCACCGGGAATGTCTTCAGTTGGGCACGTGTAGTTTTGGTCGGCGGGGTCGAGCAACGTACGCAATGCGCACAGAAACCAAGGTGCAGCGTTCTGTAACATCGCCAACATATCCGGTACGCGGTGGCAGGCTTGCCGAGCACGAAATGAAGGGGGGGTCGCATCTCACCATTCAACTAAGCATGCATGTGCTCGGTTGAATGCTCGGTAGCGTGCGAGTTTACCCCTATCAGGATGTTTGTTTGCATATCCCCCCAAGCGAGAGGGCTTGCACCTATGCTGATGTTCGTTCCAAGAAGTGAACTGAGGACTGATGCTACGGTGAAAGATTTGCACGTAAACTCGCCCGTGCAATAAAACGCCCTGTAACTCGCTTACGCTAATCCCACATTCCAATATGCCACTGCACTTTCCTCTCCAACCTGGCCACATTCTCTTCCTCGCAAACGTACTTGGGCACCTTACAATCCAACACCATATGTGCATTGGAAACGCGGGCAGCTGCTTCACAAGGACCCCCCTATTTCAAAGAGACAAATCTTCTTGCTGTACACCTTGGTGCCGTATGGGGGCTATGCCACGGCGCGATGTAACGACGCGAAAAACAACATTTGCATATGACTATTATGGATATATGGTAATGATCCGCCACGCGGTGTGTCGCATTAGCCGACCAAATGGCAGGCTAAACTTGCAAGCCTTGCAGAATTGCAGTCTCGTCTCTCGTGCTTCTTTGTTATGCTTGCATTTATAACAGCGTGTAGGAAGGTGAAGGTTTGAAAGCTATGCAAAAATGATCGTGAAATTTGTGGAAGATGATTAAAGCAACTAACACCAACGGATTATAGAACGGTCACTCGGTAGTCGGTCCTCAGTAGCCAGGTTCCTCGGTACTCGGGCAGGGTTGCGACGAACTAAAAGCCGCGTTTCCTCTGTATTCAAGGAACGATTACTCGCTACGATGGATGCAATTTTCCTTTTAGTCAATAGGGAAAGGGAAACAAGCGCATCGTTGGCATCGCTATTGGACATGCAGTATAACACAGGAAGAGACGTCTAATAATACCGATCGTTCTATAGGCACTGCCTACAGGTAGCAAAACATTCCGAAGCGGAATTGGCCGCCATGTCCACGGCGGCGATAGACAGCTTCGACTTGGTTAAGACAACGGAAGCCTTGCGTGCAATCAGGGAGCTTGATGTCAATCTATCAGGTATATACCTTTCTTTTCGTGTTGGCCTCGGCACGACCAGCCCTAGGCCGCAACCAGTCACACTTCAAATTGACCTCAAGCTGTCGCCAAGCGCCAACGAGCGACTCGCAGCCCATTTCTTCGCTAGTATGGTATCTGCTATCGCAACCGCTGCCACCGTCCCGCTGTCTAACCGCTGCTGTTACAGGCCTCAAGGCCTTGCATGATGCCATCAGCCGACCCGGACCCCAGGGCTGGCAGCACCTGCTGTCCTACATGCGCATATCCCCCGCATGTACGGAGCTTTGCAACATATGGGAGGCGCAAGCCACCATCAAAGACCCACGGGTCTTTCCGCAGCTGCTGCTCCTAATCGCGGACATCCTAGCCGCGAAGCCACCCGCAGAGCTCACAGCGACCGAAGCCCCAACGCAGGATAGCCATGGCCACACCCGTAGGCGCGACCGTGGCTACCGCAGTGGTGATGAAGCCGCCGCCGTCGCCGCCGCCGCCGCTGCACCGCCGGCGGCCGCGATGTCCTTCGTCAGTTCCGCCCAGCAGCAGCTCATCTCCTTGGCTCTAGGCCGCCGCCTGAAGTCCCTTTACCATGCACTTGGCTCGGACCATCAGCCGACTGCCAATGCGGCGCTGCAGCTGCTGACTGCGATAGCGGCGCATAGCGTGGTGGCGGCTCGGGACCTGGTGACCGCCTTCGACTGGTCGCTGTCGGCGCTGACGCGGATCAGCCGCCCCTCCAAGTGCGTCCAGAGATAACAGGGGGCCCGGAAACACAACACAAGGGGGGGGGGATGTTGGCGTTATGGGCGGGACACACACACACACACACACACGGGGAGTTGTGCGGGTGGGTGGGGGTAGTAACTCCATAGTATTGCCCTTGCGTTGCGTTGTAGGGAGCGGCCGGAGCGTGGAGCTGCCGGATCCCAGCAGCAGCAGCAGCAGCAGCAGTCCAACCGCCGCCGCGACGGCGGAGCTACTGCCTCCGCCTGGGATCGCTCCAACGTGCTGTTCCGGCCCCGCCGGGCGATGTTCGTACGCTTCTGTCGTGCCCTCCTGGACAGCGCGGACCACGCCACTCTGGCCCGGCTGCTGCCCCTCCGCGCCCTGACGGGCGGGCTACTGCACCACATGGCGGCGGATCCGCCGGGGCACGTGCTACAGACATTGCTTATATTAGGCCGCCGCGTGCTGGCGCCAGCGGTGCCTGGTGGCGCCGCCGCAGCAGCGGCGGCGGCGGCGGCTCTGCCGCCGCGTCTGCGTGCGGAGCCCTTCGGTGACGTGGCACTGGCACAGTTGGCAGAGATCGCAGCTTCGAGCGACGAGCCGGCGGAGGGGGCGGAGGGGAGGGGGAATGCAGCGGCCGCTGCAGCGGAGGCGGCACTGGAGGTTCTCGTGATGCTGTGTACGAATCCCGCAAACGGTCTCATGACGTACGGGTCGCCGGACAGTGGCGCCGCCGCTGGCGCGCCGCAGCACGGCCCCGGCGTCAAGAGATTGTTGCGGCTGCTGCCGCGTCTTCGTCCGCTGGACCACGTACGACATGTACGGCTTTTGAATGAGGTGGCTACGCGCTGCCCGTGGCTAGCGGCGGAATTTGCCAGCTCGCTGCCGTACGATCTTCAGCCCAAGGTATGTGTTAATGGAATGTTCCGTCGTACGGTACGGCCCATACGCAGCTGGGCCCACATCATCCTGACTGGCTGGCTCCCCAGCCCTCACCCTGGCTCCCCGGCTCTTCCCATCTGCTGCCCGACACCCCGCCCTCCTGCTCCTCTAATACGGACGACACAAACCTGGTCATGATATCCCCAACCTGACCACCGCCAGCTCCCTCTGGCCCCAGGGCTATTTCCATTACTCAAAAGTTACCGCCACACCCTGCGCCATTTCCTCTCCTTTTCCTTCCTTGCGACAGCTGAGTAGCCGCTGGGTAGCAGCCATGACCCTGGCGGCACGCCTCACCGCCGCCGCCGCCGTCGCGCCGTCGCCGCTGCTGGACCGCCTGACGACGGCGGCGGCGCCGCCGCCGTCAGCCGACTCGCCGATTGTCCGCGCGCACATGCGCTGCTGCATGCCGCCAGCGCTGTCCAAGGTACGGCACGTCTCGTTCAAGTATTCCCTGAAACCCGCGCTGACGTATGCACTGCCGTATACACGCATGCGTGAACACGCACATGCAGGCGGTCCTGTCCCGCGGCTTGCAGCACGACCGACCCGTGGTTCAGGCGCTGACGCTGGATGCCGTGGCGGCGATGATGCGCAGCGTGGAGCCGCTGCTGGCGTTGGTAGCGGCGTCGGCCGCTGCTGCCGCCGCCGCTGGCGCCAGCGGCGGCGGCACGGCTGCATGGCCTAGCTTCCATCGCCGTCTCTGTAGCACCGTGCGCGCCCGGCTGCCTGACTTAGGCATCCTGCAGGCTCTGCACACCGCCTTAGAGAAGCGGGACAGTGCGCCGACAGCGACGGCGGCGGCGGCGGCGGTAGAAACCTTAGGGGCGGCTTTAGGGCGCTCCAAGTCGGAGAAAGCCGCAGCTGGAAAAGACGGCGGCGGCGGCCGCGTCGGCAGCGGAGGCGCGGCGAAAGACGGAGGGGATGTGCGGATGAAGGACGTGGCTGCGAGTACGGCAGTTGAAATGGACGAGCAAGAGGGGTCTGATGCTGGTCGTGGTGGTGGTGAGGAAGAGGAAGAGGCGGGGGCGGCGGAGGAGGAGGAGGGAGGATCGCCCGGGGCTGTGGTTAAGGGCGGCAGCGGCAGCGGCAGCGGCGCAAAGGGAGGAGGCCTGCTGGCGGCGGCGGTGTTCGGTGCTGCCGTGGCAAGGGATCCATCGCGCGTTCGTCTGGCGGTGCTGGTACGACTGCTGGACGTGATTGCGAGCTACTGCCGGCTACTTCCCGACGCGGCGGCGGATGCGCACTTCGACGCCGTCAAGCTGCTGCCGCCGGTGCGTAGCGGCCCCCGCCACGGCGGGCGTCGTCTGTCCGGGGCTCCTTCCTGGCTGCTAAGTGCTGTATGTATGTATGTATGTATGTATGTATCGGGCGTGGTATGGGGGTTATGGAGGTACAACGCAATGGCGGGTTCTCGTATCTCTTTCAGGGAGGAGGGAAGGAAAGTGCCGCCAAGGGGCACGACCCCAGCTGGGCAGAGGAGTGTCATGCCCGTACCGTAGTGGTGCTGATCATTGCCGCTGTTGTGAGTTAGCTTCGTTGTCGTGTAGGGTGACGTACTGGCATTGGACGAGCAACATCAGGCGGCGCTAATGGGCGTATTGGCGGCGGCGGTGGCGGAGCCGGCGGCGGCGGCGGGGTTTGGGCCGTCAGCGGCGCCGCTCAGCACCGCTCTGGTGCTGCCGCTGCTGCGGCTGCTGACGGGGGCGGCTTCGCCTGCTGTACGGCAATCCGCCGGTGGGTCGATTCGGGTTTGACGATTGGTCCGATTGGAGTGGCGGTGCAGTGATAATGCAACAAGGCGGCGAGGGAAGGGGAAAGGGGGAGGGAAGCGGGGGGAAAGGGGGAGGGAAGCGGGGGGAAAGGGGGGGAAGACGACGGCACATCACGAACGAGTGAAGCTGATGCCAAGGATAGACTGATGCGCCAGAAGTGAGGAAGCAATAACTCACCACCAGTCGCGGGGAGGAAAGGGAGGCGATGATGTGGTAGAGGGGAGGTGTGCTTCAATCTGCCAGGGTGGTGTGGTGTGTGAGGTGTATGGGGGCGGTGATTAGTCGGCATCGAGAGCCCCCCACCGGGTACCGCGCGTTTCCCCAGACCCGAACATCACATCACGTCACATCGAATACTCCTCACGTCATCATTGTTATCATTATCATCATTATTATTATTATTATTATTATTATTATCATTATTGTTATCATCATTATTATCATTATTATTATTATTTATGCATTTTACACACGTACATACATACATACACACACGTCGCAGGGGAGTTGCTGGTCTGCCGCCTCAAACCGCTGCTTCTAGGCGGCATGGCGCCCACAGCGGCGGAAGGTCCCGGAGCATCGGCAGCAGTAGCAGCAGCCCTTGCCGGTGGCGGCGCTGACGTGCCGTACAACTGGGGATGGGACGAGCTGGAGCTGCGGATCTGGTTGTGGATGCTGCCGTCGCAACCGGTGCCTCGTACGGCAACGGCGGCAGCGGCAGCGGCACCCGAGGTTTCCCCCCTTGTTGGTGGCGGTGCTGATGCCGTACTGAGCTTCCTGGCCAACCTGGCGGTAGCGGCGAGCAGGCGGCCGCAGGTGTGTGTGTGTGGGGGGGAGGGAGGCTGTGGTAGCTACTGCTACCCTTACTACTGCTGCGCTGCTGTTACTCAGCTACTACGACTGCTGCTCTGCTACTTTCCATTACTCCATCTACTCTGCTACTGCTACTACTGCTGCTACTGCTACTGCTGCTACAGGACGGTTACGAGTTGACTCGTGCCTGGCTACCTGCGGAGGCTGTACGGGTACGGGGGGGTGGGGTGGGGGGTGGGGTGGGGGGTGGGGTGGGGTGGGGTGGGGGCGCTCCATGACCGGCCTATGCAGGCAGGGGGAAAGCACACGGACTCTCCCACCCGGGGCGCTATCTTCCCAATTGTGTTGCGTTGTTGCGTTCCCTTTGCTGCCCCGCGCCCCTCCTGACCGGGGGCCCGGCCGATTCTGAAAAGCCGAGTCTGTGGCTGAGTCTGTGGCGTTTGTAAAGGAAGCGCCGTACTTAAGCGCCGTTCTTAGCCCGCCATCTCCATCGTACTACTTTCTACGCCCCCCCCCAGTGTCCAAGCCGGGGTCCTGTGAGTCCGCTGGCCGCTCTGTCACTGCGGAACTGCTTGCGACTGCTGCGGTCGCGGCGGAGTGGGGCCCGCGGGGAGCAGGAGCGCGCGGCGGTATGCGGCTATGTGGCCGGTGGGACACCCGGCTGGGGGGGGGGCCGGCTGCTGGGGAGGGTATGGAGAGGAGGGTGCGGGGCGGGGCGGCGGTTTTGTCGCTGTTTCCATCTAATTTTCCTCCTGATGTGTTTTTTAGCTTCCTTGTGCTCAAGCAGGCGCTGAGGTCCCCCCTGGCTCCGCAGTATTGCACCGTGCCGACCTCTACCCGAGCTGCTCATGACCGGGGCTGCACACAGCGGCATTTTTTGCCGTATCTCACTCAAGTCACGCAATCCTCGGCTCGTATCCTCCTCGGTCGTACAGGTGTACTGCACCTGCTGACGCAGCAGCTGGATGACCCGTGGGTCATGCTGCACTTGTTAGAGCGGGCGTTGCTGGCGGATAAAGCCACCGCCGCCGCAGCCGCGGCGCCGCCGCCGGAACACGAACCACCGCCGCCGCCACCGCCGTCGTCGTCCGTACCCGCGGGCCAGGTGCGCTCTGGGGAGGATGAGTGGATGAGGAGGGGCGATGGTGAAGATCGTGGTGATGAGCAAGCCGGGTTTGATTTGTAATGTGTGTTTGTAATGTTCCTGCTAAAAAATGAAATGAAATGAAATGAACTGGAGTAAACAATCGCCACAATCACCATCAGCATGTTTTACTCTTTGTTCGCTGTTCCTCGTTTCCCTCCCCATGCCTATTTAGGCCATCAGCTTACCTCCCGAAGGGCAGCCGCTACGGTCTTTGTACGACTGGTTGCGTAAGAGCTGCCGTTCTCGCGCCGCGCTTGTCGCGACGGTGCCGGATGTCGTTGGTGAGTCAGCAGATGCAGGATGTTGGTTAGCGTCAGCCGTACAGCAACCGGGCCAAGAGCCGCTGGCAAAGCGACGAAGAAAGTCGGCGGCTGCGATGGTGGCGGCGCCGCCAGGTGCACCATGCGTCGCCTCTGGGGGCCTCGACAGCTCGGCCCCGGGAAACCTACGGGTCGAGGTCGTGGGGGACGGCAGCGGCGATGGCGGCGGCGGCGATAGCACGCAGCCCGACGGCGACGCAGAAAGTACGGCAACGACGAAGAGCCTTTCTAAGAAGCTGCGTGAATGTGTGAAGGCCGCTGCAAAGGTACTCAAGAAGGACCGTGACGGCGGCGGCGGTCATGACAGTAGCAGTAGCAGCAGCTGTAGCCAGGGGCTGCCGGCGGCGGCCTGTGCGCACCTGGCGGAGGCGGCGTCCCTCGCATCGTTGTTGCTTTCCCGTCACTGCACTGAACCAGCGGAGGCAGCGGCACATGCTGTACGGCTACTGCAGCTCGCGGTACGGAAAACGCCGCCGTCGTTAGCGGCCACCGGCGCCCCCGCCGCTGCTGACGACGACCCTGGGAGTGTCGGAAACGGCAAAAGTGACTTGCCGGCGGCGGCAACGGCAGCGGTGGCGGCGCCGCCGCCGTCGGTCCCCGGTCCACGTGAACTGCTCCTCGCGGCTCTGTGGATTTTCGCCCTGTTAAAGCCGCTGGCGTCACGCTGCATCTTGGTGCCCGCTGAGATGCTGTGTGTTGTGGCGGCGGAGGGGGATGGAGGAGCTGGAGAGGAGGGTGGTGCGAAGGCGGGGGAAAGCGGCGGCGGTCTGGGTGAAGCGGAAGAAGACGTGGAGGGCGATGGTGGCGGCGGCCAGGGCTGGGAGCTGGGGCCGTCTGCGGCAGCGCTGGAGGTGGTCACTGGCGGCAGCGGCGGCGGCGGCAGTAGCGGCAGCGATACTTGGCGGTGGACGGCGGCGGCGGCGGCTTGGGATGGGCAGCTTCCGGCGTTGGTCCTGATGCAGGGGGATTTCCTGTGGCGGCGGAGGGGGGGAGGGGGTCGTTTGGGTTCCGCAGTCGACGTCGACGGCGGAGGCGGAGGCGTCGAGCGTTTTGGCGCCACCGCGGCGAGTTTTCCGTCATGGGCGCTGATCGCGGCCGCCGGCAGCGTTCCTTTTTGGCTCCGCTCCCTGGCGTCATCTCCAGGCGGTGCCGCCGCGGCCTTCCAGCTTGTACGGCAACTCCTGCCGGCGGCGCAGCCAGCAGCGGGCCCCTCGGCGGAATTATCTAGTGCGGCAGTACGGCATGTAGGATCATCGCTCAAGGTGGTGGCGTGCGGCACGCTGCTCCGCGTGCTGCGCAGCTCTGCCGCTCCTGTGGCGGTCCTACTGGCGGCACCCCTGGCGACGGCGGCGGCGCCACCGCAGCGTCATGGTCGCCGCGTTCAAAACGTCGACAGTTGCATCGGCGCCGTTGCGTCGGCGGCTTGTCGGCACGCGCTGAGGCTGTTGGGGGACCTATGGATCCAGTTGACGACGGCGGCGGCTGTGGCGGCGGCGGCAACCACTACAACCGCCGGGGCGGTGATGGCGACCGCGACGATAGCGGCGGGAGCTTGGCCTGGCGCGGAGACTGCAGGGAATCCCACGACTTTTAATGCCGCTGCCGTTATCGTTGCCGTACGTGCCGCGTGTGCCCGCCATATTCGCGCCGCCGTTGCCTGCCTGCGGACCTTGCTAACGCGCGACGAAGCCAGGCGATGCAGCGGCGGCAGCGATGATGTTGACGCCGCCGTCGAGGTATTGCTGCCGCTGGCGCGCCACGGCGCCGCCGGGCAGTTGCTGCCGCTCGTCCAGGAGCTGCTGGCGGCGGCGGCGGCGGCCGCCGCCAATACCGCAAGTGCTGCCGCTGTTGCTACAGCCGCTCCTGAGGTTGCACCGAAGGCCAAGCGGAAAGCCAAGGCGGCCGCAAACGGCGTGTTGGAGCCAGCGGCGGTAGCTCGGCAGCAACGGCTGTTGGAAGCTGGGCTGGCGTTGGCGGCCTCCGTGCTGGCAGACCCGCGTGCGCTGCTGGGGGGTTTCGGAGCAAGGGCCAGCGGCGGGGACGTCATCAGCAGTAGCAGTGGCGGCAACCGGGGCGAAGGCGGGGAGAGGGAGGAGGCTAACGACGACGGCGATGCGAGCAGCAGCGGCGGCAACGGGGTCCGATTGCGGCAGGTCTTTGCTGCCGTACAGGCGGAGTTGGTGTCGCTTGTTTGTGGTACCGGCGTCAGCGGCGTCGGTGACGGCGGCGGCGGCGGCGCAGCCGAGCGGGCAGCAGAGTTAGCGTCGACGGCACTGTGCTGCGGTCTCCAAGGACCCGCGGGTCACATCTTGGCCTTGGAGGTGACGGCAGATGCGCTTGAAGCCTGCGTACGGCTTGCGCCGCGTAGTGTTGCCGCCGCTGACGCCGCGGCGGCAGCATTAGCGCTAGGGCCGCCGGCCCTTCACGCGCGCTTTGCAGCAGTGCTGCCGGCGGTGGTGACGGCGGAAGAGCAGCGGCGGCCCGGGCTCGGGCGGAGGCTGGCGCTGGCGCGGCTGCTGCCGGCGGCGGACACGTACACCCGCCTGGCAGAGGCGGCGTACGGCAGAAGCGCCGCCGACGTGGGCGGCAGATTTGTTGCGTCGGACCCGGTGGTTCGCGCTTTCCGGGAGCCGCTGTTCGCGTACCTCACCCGGAAGGCCAGGAAGGTGACGGCTGCCGCCGCCGCCGCCGCCGCGAATGGCAGTGGCCGGCGACGGAGAAGTCGCGGCGACGGAGGTCTGGCTGCGGCTGTAGCTGATAGCGGCCTGCCGCGCGACGCCGTGGAGCGGCTGCGGACGTTTGCGGTACCCTTGCTGGCCAGGCTGCTGCATCTGTCTTATGGTGGAGAAGACGTTCGGCAGCAGGACCACGAGGAGCAGCAGCAGCAGGGCGGAGGCGGCGGAGGCGGCGGAGGCGGCGGAAGTGGCGGAGGCGGTGGAGGCGGCGGAAGTGGCGGAGGCGGCGGTGGCGGCGGAGGCGTAGCGATGCCTTCCGTGTTATTGAAGACGCTGACCAAGCTGCTGCCTCCCGCAGGTATATAAGAGTTTTGTAGACCTTACACTGCCCTGTGCCGTGCCACGTCATCCCGTGTCGTGTACGGCAATATCGTACAGATTCATGTGTTCTCACGTCAGTTCTGTGTCATCGGGGCTCCTTTCCAGGTCCTGCTACTGCTATTGCTGCTACTGCTGCTGCCACTGCTACTGCAATTGCGACTTCTACTGCTACTGCTATTTCTGCTTGAGTCTTTTGGTACATTGCCAGTGACTCACGCACATTCTGGGACTCAGCTTGCATATGAGCGTTGAGGTCGTTGGCCGATGTTCGGTTGGTCTAACCGACAGACGACACCGACCGGTGGTCGCCCTGGCGGTGGTTGCTGGTTTGCAGGCGTTCCTCTAAGCCTGGACGGCGATGATGACGGCGACGACGAGGGTAGCGGCGACAGAGGCGGCGGCGGAGTCAGGGGTAAGGGTGTTGAGGGACGCGGGACCGACCTGACGGGTCGCCCGCCGCTGGCGTCCTCGGCGGAGCAACTCGCTTTGGCGGAGGCGCTCCTACGAGATGCCGTACTGCATCGCCGAAATGGCGGCCGCAGCGACGGCGGCGAGGCCGCCGCCGCTGAGTCATGGGGAACCACGGAGCTGGCGGCCGTGGCCGCCGTGTTGGGTGCCGCAACGGCGACGCTGGCGGCGCTGTACGGCAAGGGCGTACTCCCGTCGGGGGCCGGCGGAAGCGCCGCGCAGAGGTACGGTATCGAACGCACTTTCCTTTGGGATGGGGTGAGGGGAAATGTACGGAAAGCGACGGCCGCTCAGGCATCGGTGAATGGACAGCGCCCCAGGCTCCAGGATGTTTTACCTTTCCTGTGCCCATTCCGGCATCCGTTGGAGGCCAGCTGGGCTGCAGCGCTGTTGGACTTGAACGTGCCACACAACACACAACATACCACCGCCACGACCGCCACCACACCTCAATTCGGGAGTCCGTGTGGTTAGAGCGCGTTCCCCGCATCCCAAGTCGCTGTGTTTTTCTCTTCTCCCCTCTTCACGCGCGGCTCAAGGCCCCAACCCCCCGGATTTAGACGTCTGTAGTGGTACGACATTCGTTATGGTACGACATTTGTTGCATGTGTGATGTTGTCTTCGGCTCCCCTCGCCCCCGCCTCGATGGGGCGTCAGGCGCCTCCTGGCCACCGCCTCTGGCTGCCTGGACGGCAGTGTGGGGGACCTCCTGGCGGACCTGCCGGACAGCGCCAGGGAGGGACCTGCCTTCGCCGCGATATGCCGTACGGTGCAGCCCCTGGCCACCGCCACTGCCGTACACGCCGCCAGCGATCGCGCTGCGCTGCGCTGCCTGCGGAGGGTGCTGGCGGCGCTGCTGCCTCAGGCTGCAGCCGGCGGGAACGGCGACGGCGGTGACGCCGCGGCTGCTACAGCCCCGGCGAAGGGTGATGACGCTGATCCGGACGGCAGTAGCGGCAGTAGCAGTGTTGACCACGGCGGCGGCGAAACCGATGACGATGATGACGACGGCGACGGTGGCCCCCCGGGTCTCGTGAGGAAGTCTCAGGGCGGTGTGCACCTCCATGGCACCGCCGCTCCAGGGGAGGGGGAGGAGGGCAGTGAAGAGGACCAGGAGGAGGAGGGGGAGGAGGAGGAGGAGGAGGAGGAGGGCGGAACAGCAACCATGTCCTTTAGCAGCGGCGGCGACGTAAGCGACAGCGACTCCGAGGCAGCGGAAAATGGCCGCCGTCGTAGTAGCAGTGGCAGTAGTAGCAGTAGTAGCAGTAGCAGTGGCAGTAGTAGCAGTGGCAGCAGTAGCAGAGGGACTACGAGCGAGGAGGAGGAGGAGGAGGAGGAGGAGGATGTACAGCAAGACACCGACAAGGATGTGGAAATGGAGGCAGCTGATACAGAAACGGACGATGAGAATGGGAAGCGGATGCAAGAAGGTGTAAGCGAGGACGACGTGGACGACGTTGGTGCCGATGCGATGTTGTTGCCGTACGGTCTCGTACCTAACGCCGTGGCGGCGGCTGCCGCTGGCGAGATGTTGGAGTCCTTCATCACAACCCCGGCGTTGCTGACCATGTTTGCGCCGCCGGCGACGGCGGCGGCGGCGCCGCCGCCGCCGCCAGCGCTGGCCCGCCTGCCGCTACCTCTCGTGTCGCTGTTGTCAGTGGGCGACGTTGCCGGAGCTGGCGGCCTGACGGCGGTCCCCCGTCAGGATGCCGCACAGACAGATACGGACGAGTGCCGTACAGCGGCGGCAGTTGAGGCGCTTCGTACGGAGTTTGCTACCTTGCTTGAAACGCTGCTGGACCTGCGGCTTGCGTATGACACGTACGACCAACACGGCCGGCATTGTGGCAAAGCGGGTGCTGGGAATCGTAGCGACGGCGCCGCCGCCGCTGCTGCTGCTGCTGCTGCTACAGCGGCGGCCTTTGGCCACGGCGCCGCGGAGCGTACGGTTTTGGAGGCGCTGCTACAGCTGCTGCAATGCGCGTACGGCGCTAGCCTGCGGGAATCAGACCGTGCTGTTCTTCGGGTCCTGTTGCGCTTGGACGAGCTGCTGCTGCCGCTGCCTGCGGCGGACTCGGCCGATGGCGACGACGCTGATGGTAAGTGGTAGCGCCTTCGCGTCGTACCGACGATACAGCGCATGTATTACATTTACAAAGCGAGAGAGGGAGGTGCGTGTCGCTATCCAGTCCAGATCCAGTTCCAGATCCAGTTCCAGATCCAGTTCCAGATCCAGTTCCAGATCCAAGGAGGTTCTGCGATTGCCTTCCGCACCTCCACACCTCCTACCTGAACTCTAGCAGATCGGTCGCTACGACGGTGTCGCAACATTTAGGATCTTTGGAATCACCATTACTCCCTCTTCACTCCCACTTCACTCCCTCTGTTATCCTCTCTACGTGGCCGCCCCACCCCGTACGGCAGTTTATCCATCCTTCATTTGTTTCTCAAGCAACATGACTACCAACCCCACCCCTTCTCCCACCCACCCCGCGTGTGAAGACCCCCGGTGCGCAGATCTCGTCACTCGGCGCCTCAGCGGCGGCAGCCCCCTCGCCCGCTCAGGATACGTCTGCGGGACCGCAGCACGCCAGTACTACCAGGCCAGCGCAGCGGCCCAGGCGGCGGCGTACGGCACAGCTGCTGCTGGTGCTGCTGCCGACCGTACGGCTCTGCGGACACGCGCCGTGACGGAGAACCAGCTGAGTGACCCACGGGTCATAGCACTGGCGTGCGTCTGCTTCCCAGCGGGCCGTACCCTCGCGGCAGAGGAGGACGACCCTTGGGCGATTCCCAGTGCTGCACCTGCCGCCGCCGCCGCCGATGAGTTACGACGACCGCGGACCACTAGCTGCAGCGACGGCGGCGACCCCGCATGGCTGCTGCCGTACACGGTGTGTTGTCTGCGTGACGGCGCCGCCACCGTACAGGATCTTGCAGGTTGGGGACTGCTGCCGCTGTGCCTGCGTTGCCTGGCGGTTGAGGATGTGGGGCTGAGGACGTTGTCGTACGAGGCCCTGGCGCTAGCGGCGGCGCAGCTGGACTCGCTGGAGGCTGCTGCTGCTGCTGCGGCGGCGGCGGCGGGGGGGGGGTCCAGAGCGGCTGCGGCGCGCGCTATTGAGGGCAAGGCGGCGGCGGCGGGGCTGGCGGGCCCGGCGGCGCTGGGTTCCTTCCTCCCGGCGGCGGCCGCCGCCACCGCTGGGGGTGGTGCTGGCAGTACGGCCGGCACCGCCGCCGCCGGCGTAGTGGGCCCTTCCGACCTTCGAGGAGCGCATCGAGCTGCGGCTGACTTCCGTCAGCGACAGCAGCTGCAGGTACGAGGTAGGGGTAGAGGTAGGGGTAGAGGTAGGGGTAGAGGTAGGGGTAGAGGTAGGGGTAGAGGTAGGGGTAGAGGTAGGGGTAGAGGTAGGGGTAGAGGTAGGGGTAGAGGTAGGGGTAGAGGTAGGGGTAGAGGTAGGGGTAGAGGTAGGGGTAGAGGTAGGGGTAGAGGTAGGGGTAGAGGTAGGGGTAGAGGTAGGGGCAGAGGTAGGGGTAGAGGTAGGGGTAGAGGTCCCTCTCCCTTCCTTTCACCCCGAGTCATGCCATCACCACCATCACCACCATCACCACCATCACCACCATCACCACCATCACCACTATCACTGCAAACGCCGTTGTGGACTTGCCTTGCGGCCTTCCCTCCATTTATCCATTTATTCCCTCCCTCCCTCCCTCCCCCCCTTCCCCCCTCCCCTCCCTATCCGCCATAAGGCCCTCCTGGCCCACGTGCGCAACGCCGTGACGGCCCCTCTCCAGCAGCTGCCGCACCTGAGCGCCCTTTTCGCTGCGGAGGCGGCCGTCGTGCTCATGCAGCCCCAGGTAGGCTGCGTCTCTGTGTGCGTGTGTGCCTGTGTGTGTTTATGGGGGAAAGACAGAACCACGTGTCGTGATGGCACGGGGTTGGTCCCCGTCCGGAGAGTGTGCTATCGGTACGACAGAGGATGAGTGGCACATCTCCTGTCGACCTGATTTCGCCACCGGCTGTCCGGGGGCGCCCATGGGGCTGTAGCTCATCGCACTGCTAATGCTATTGCTGCTATTGCTGCTGCTCTTGCGTCCCCCGTGTGTCACCCCCGGGTGCCGACCTCCTCTCCGTCTGGAACCTCCTCTTGCACTGATTTAAGTGTCCGTGTCGCTTTTCCCCCCCCACCACCACCACCGTCGTACTTCGGCCTGCTCTCCCGCCACCCGGGGATAAGGCCCCCATGTTCAAACCCATCAGCCGCCTGGTGGGCCGGAAACCCTCCCTGGACCTCACCACGCCGCCGCTGTTCAACAGGTATGTATGTGTGTGTGTGTGTGTGTGCGTCTATCTAAATGTATGTGTGTGCGTCTGTACGGTGTGTGTGCATCTGTGTGCCTGTGTGTCTGTCTGTCTGTCTGTCTGTGTGTATGCGTATGCGCGTGTTCGCATATTGATGTTACTTATTACGGGAACAACGCTCTCGTTTCGTCTCGCGACGGGGAAGGGAGGTGGGGTAGGAGGGCGAGTAGTTAAGCTCGCGCGGCTGCCAGACAGGCACAGCCAACGCAACAACGTGCGAGCAAACACACGCTGTGTTTCGCGCACGACTGGTATCCCCCCGCCTTCTTCCTCCCTTTCCCCTCCCCCTCGCACTTCTAGAGTCCTGGCTGCTGGAGCCCCTGGACAGCGACCTGAGCAGAGCTGGGCACTGGGGTTGCTGCGGTGGGGGGCCGTGGTAGGTGCCAGTGCGACGTGCGTGTGTGTATGTGTGTACGTGTGTATGTTTGTTGTCCTCTGTATGCTTTACATTTGAGGGGGACTACTGCCATGCTACTGCCCTATCATGCTGCTGCATCTACCTCCACCAACCTCCACAGACACCCTCAACCCAACCAGACATGACATGCAACTGAAAACCGACAGTTAGCAACGGTTAGCGACAGTTAGCAAACCAACATACTTCTTAACTTCGCCTTGGTGTAGTGGCCGATAGGTGCGCCGAAATTTCATGGGATCCAAATTGGATCCAAATTGGCAATTCCGGTCCCAGTCCGGACCCTACCAGAAAACACGACCAGGAGGGGGGTGGTGGTAGCGGGGGCCCATTTGTCGGCGGCATTCATTGCCAAGATGTTGACAACTGACTGACTGACAGACTTACTGACTGACTGACCCCACATACACAATTCCCTTCACTCTCTCACCCCCAACCCCAGGGACCCCTCGACGGGTCCATCTGCCGCCGCAAGTTCGTGGCGGAGGTCTGCCAGGCGCTGTACGGCTCGCGGGCGGCGGCACTGGACGCCGCCGCCGGCGGCGGAGGCGCTGGCAACAGCATCGGCGTCGACGGCGAAGCCCCCGGAACAATAGGCGCTGGCGCTGGCGCTGTCTCTGCCGCTGGTGGCAGCGGCGGTGGCGGCGGCGGTGGTCTGCCTGTGTGTTCGTCCCTGGCGCTGGATGTGCTGGCGGCGCTGTCCCGACTTCCGGCCCTGGGGCGACATCTGGTGATGGTGACGGGTGAGGCGGCTGGGGGGGGCGGAGGGGAGGGGGAAGGGGGAGGGGGGGCCGCCAGGCAGGCAGGCAGGCAAACCTGGGGTGTCCGCCACCCCACCCCCAGGATAGCTTTACCCCACAACGCCTGTGTCTGTGTGTATTACCCCTCCTTGTCGGGCTGCGTCTCCCGCCAAGGGTCTAATGTACGAGCACGCCGCCGGCCTGTACGCGAGCCTGAGGGGCAACGGGGGGATGGTGATGGCCGGTCCACCAAATCACCGCATCAACTCCAAATGATCGTGCAGGCTTCGTGCCCTGGCTGGGGCACCTGGCGGCGTCGGCAGTGCAGGACGCGCAGCGTGGTCGGTACGGTAGCACGGGTGCCGCCGTCGTACGGCAGGTTCGGGTGCCGCACATGTCGTCGGAGCCGGCGGCGCTGCCGGCGGCGGCGGTGCTAGCCCTGGGAACGTTGCGGGACCTGATCCGCCGCCGGGTGTGCTTACGGCGGCATGACGGCGATGCTGCCGTACACCAGTACGGCCAAGCCGCCGGGACGCTGGCACGGGCGGCGCGAGCGTGCGGCAGCGGCGAGCTGGCGGCCTGGACTTGCAGTATGCTGGCGGGGCTGGCGGCGGCGCTGCCGCCGTGGCGGACGCAGCCGTTGTGGCGCGCGGCTGCCACGCCGGCGGTGTTGCTACAGCTGTACGGCGTCATTACCACAAGCGCTGGTGGCGGCGGCGGCGGCGAGGGTGCACTCCCAACCTCCGCTTCAACTCGTCGTTTGCAGATGTGGTTACAGGTACGACATTCGCGCTTCTACTTTTGCTGTGTCGCCCCTAAACGCAAAAACCCTGTACGACGGCCAGCAGTCTTCCCCCCGTTGACGTACAAATGCCGTACTCCACTGATGCCAGGCCGTGCTGCGCTCGTCATTTCCTGTGCCGCCGCCAGCGGCGCCGGCGGCGATAGCGGCCGCGATAGCGGTTGTCGGAGCTGTGCCGCACAGCAACTTAGGAAATGCCGAGGCGCTTACCTTGCCTCTGGGCAGTGGCGCTGTCCAACGCTTGGTATGTACGGCAATTACGGCAGCTCTGTCGTTGTCGCGAAGTGCCAGCGCGGCCTCGCACCGTACATTGGGACGTCGTGAAGAAGGCGATGGTGGTGGCGGCGGATTGCCGGGGCGGCAGCCGGCGGCGGTTCATCCCCCGACCCACACGGGTTCGCATGGCGGCATGTGCTGCACCGCCGCCGCCGCCGCCACTGCGCGCGCGTGTCTGTTGTGGCTAGCTTCGTTGGCGGCGGCGGGGCACTGTCTCTGCCCACCCCGTTCCGCAGCCATCCAACCACTGTCGGAAGCGTTGTACGAGCTCGTCGCGATAGCGACGTCGCCGAGACTTGACCCGTCAGGTCCAGCTACTGCCGCGGCAGCGACGTCATCGGCGGCGGCGGCGGCGTTTCGCGTGACGCTTCTGTCGCATGCTGTCTGTCAGAGGTCGCTGCTGGCGGCGGACTGTAGACCGCCCGTCGGGAGCTGTACGGCAGGTGGTGGCGGCGACGCTGGCGGAAGAGGCGGTCACGGTGGTGCAGGTGATGACAGTGGCAGCGGCGGCAAATGGCGGCGGGAGGAGCTGCCGGAGGACCTGTGGCGGTGCGCGGGGGAGGTAGGTTGTGTGTGTGTGTGTGTGGCGGGGGGGGGCGGGGGACGTAGCTGGGGCTGTGGGGCTCCATCCACCCACCCTATCCTTTCCCCAAGCCCAATAGTTTACAGACAGACGTACATGTGCATGAATACATGAATACATATATATACATATATATACATATATATACATATGTATACATATATATACATATATATGTATATGTATATATATGTATACATATATATACATATATATGTATATGTATACATACGTACATAACATAAAGTTAACCTGCGAGCCGACCAGGAATGGAGTTGGGCCGCTGTCGACCCGGCAGATTCTGTTGGATGCTGGTGGTGGGTGCGGAACCTGAGCGATCCACTGAGTAGTCGGCTAGGGTGACTGGATGAGGGTGCCCCGATATATTGGGGAAGGCAGGGTTTCGCAGGGTAGCTGCCACGGGTGAAGATATACCCCCCTGTTTCACACATCATACATACATACATACATACATGCACATCACAGCTGAGACACGTGCTAAGAAATGTTTCCTCAGCTTTTCCACATCACGGATGGGTTCCATGGTTAAGCTCTGGAGTCCCCCCGATCTGACTTCTCACCTCCGGGGCCGGTTGTCAACCAGAGGGCAGTTAGTAGAGGTGCCTCCGCTGCATTGGAAGTTGGCCTCCCACGAGCACAAGGGCACACAGCCTCCACGGCTTCCAACGCCCCACTCCACCCCAACCCAACCACCCACCCATCCACCCATCGTCCCAACCACCACCTCCCAACCACCAACTTCCAACCACCACCACAACCACCTGCACTGACCCCAGTTTGGACGTCCTCTGGCCGCCGCGTCGTTGCTTACCGCCCCCTACTTTTGGAAATACTGCTAACACCCCCTCCTCCTCCCCCTCGCCCGCCCCCGCTTCATCCTCCAAACCCACCCCCTCCTCCTCCTCCTCCCCCTCCCGCCCCTTTCAGCGCCTCCAAGCAGTGCTGGGTCCCAGAACCCCACCCTCCCTCTTCGCCACCACCATCACACCACCACCGCAACCGCCACAACCACCACGGCAAGGGGTCGAGGGGGCCGACGTCAGCAACCAACTTGAATTCCACTCCCACGACAAGCACCAGCAGCAATGTTATCAGCAGCAGTATTATCATCATCATCATCATCATCATCCGCAGCAGCAGCAGCAGCACCGGGATGGCGCCTTGTCCGAAAGTGTTGCGAGAACAACTCCCGATACTGCACCGCGGGGCTGGGGGCAGTCGCACCGGTCGCAGGCCGCGGCGCACGCCTGGTTGCGAGCTGCCCGTGTCGCTCTGGCGGAGGCGGAGGCGGCGGAGGTTGCGGAGGGGCAGGTCCACGGGGCGGCATGGGACTACGTCGGTTGTGGCGGTTGTGGCGGTTGGGAGGCAGCGGAGGGTGTTCTGCAGGAGCTGTTGTTGGGTCCTGTGGGGTTGGCTACACCGAGGAAAGTGGAGGGGCGGTGAGGTGGGGTTGGGGTGGGGTGCGAGGTTGGGCGGGGCTCCTGTGGGGGGGCATGGTGGGCCCTGGGTGGGCGGGGGGGGAGAGATGGTGTTGGCGGGGTACCGGTGCGGGGCGGAAGACGGGGTGAGAGTTAGTTAGTTAGTTAGTGGGAGGGGCGTGAGGGGCCTCTGCCCCCTCCTAAGCAGCCGGAGCCGAGAGCTGTGTGGAGGAAGGCGGGGGGAAGGGCTCCGAGAAGCGAGAGGTTGAGAGGTGAGAGGTGGGGGGAGCTGGAGGCGCATGCAGCTCGCGGTGTCTCAGTTGAGGACGGGGCGCAGTGACGGCTGCTGTTGGTGGATTGGATCAAGGTTTGCGCTGGCACAGCCATTCCAGTTGGGTTGGTGATTTTTTGAGGGGTATGCCGCTCCTGTTGGTGGGGCCAGTAATCGAACCCAGGACCTTCATCTGGTAACTGCAGAGGTGTCACCGACCAGACCATATTGGTCGGGAGTATTAGGTGTACGGATTGCTGATGAGGTTGAGAGATCAGGTCTAGTTGATGGGTTTGTTTTCGCATGCTGAACTGGTGGTGGTGATGGCTGATCTGTCTCTACGGATGTCGGGTGACTGGATGAGGCGGGGTCTAGGTAGCAGGAACCAAACCGCCTTCAGTTTTCGTATGGTGGAGTCAACTTTCGACGTATATAGTCCATGGCCTCCCGGCTTTGACGGACCCCGTGCGGAACTTGTAACTTGTAACTTTTGGCGGGCGGGGAGCCCCGGGGAGAGACTGAATATCCTCAAACTACAACAGAAAGCGCCTTATACGCTAGTCAGGCAACACCCAAAGTCTTAACTAAATCAAGACGAAATTCGTCCAACTACCTTCGGCTGGCCTAACCACCTGCGGATAGCGACTAACTCGGTCGTGGCACATAATTTGTGCGCTCCAGATGTTTTGGCGTGACACCCGTGAAGGGATTTCAAAGGGCGGAGTGTTTGGGGGGTTTTTGAGGCACCGCTGGGAGCCAGGCATGGCGCGGATATTCTGTACCGTACACCTGTACGACAGGCGGAATGTATGTAATTGCAGGTTGCCTCTTAGCGCAGTGTTCCCAGGGTCGACCGTTTGCCAACGGTTATCTCAACCTGGTTACCGTCGCTAGTTTTCAGCTTTATCATTCCACGTTCTCAAGATTTCGCTGCTAGAACGAAGTAGTTTGCCGGCAGTATTTACTCGGATGACGGCAGTAAATGAGCGGTAGAGGTACGGGATACTGCGCAGACAGGTACGGAAGGGCACGCAGCGCAAGGTTGTCGCTATGGATTGCCAGCTTTGTAGCTTGGATTCATGGTTGGTCAATGCGATTTTTTTGTGTGAGCCGTAGGTCATATTACACGGCTTACCGGCTTGATGTCGGAGGCCAGGAGGCCATGTCGTGCTATCTATCCGCCGCAAGGGTCTGCACATCAAAGGCTGGCGGTGAACACAGATGACGCACAATTGTCATGAAAGGGAATTCTTTTCCGCGTTGCGTAGAAGCGCTACAGCACGCATTACCGGTTTGCTATCTTATTCGGTCTCCTGTGGCCGCGCAAAGCACATGTAATAATTGACAAATCGTAATCATGCTGGCTGAGAAGCAAGATGCTGAGGCGGGAGGAAGCACGGCATCACGCTGGGCGGCCCGATGGGAAAAGACCAAGTAGGACAAAAGGACGAGCTGCTGAGCCTTGCAAAGGGAAATTTATTGTAACAAACATATTTTCATTTTTGGGAACTTCAGGGCGTTCATCATTAAAAACTACCTTCCTATCGCATTCCTGGTCGCGCTTGGCCTCGCCCTTGCTTGGCCTGTACCTGGCCGTTTCCTTGCAAACGTATCAATTCTGGGCAATGTTAGGATTTGCCAGGTACGCCATCCCGACCAGCGCATAGCTCGTTTGACGATTGACGAATTTGGTGTCCCACGGGACATGCTCCCGAGCAGAACCGACCAATACAAACGTCACAATTACGGCTTTCTCTTACTTAATCCGGTAACGACAGGTGGCAGCCATGGTGTTGGTGTTCCTCATTACGGGGCTGCAACTTAACACCACGGAGGTGAAGCGCGCCCTGGCGCTCCGGAACTTACCGGTGGTTATGTACGGCTTCGTATCCATCTTAATTGCCACCCCCTGCCTCGGTTTCGCACTCCGCTCGGCGCCTCTGGATCCCTGGGAGTTTGCTACGGGTGCGCGTGCATGGCCTTGGGAGGCACGACTGGGCTGGGATTGGGAAGTTTGGGTTAAATACGGGTTGGACTGGATTGACTTTGTAAAAGATTTTTGAGTTTGAATTTAAAATTTGGATTCGGATTTAAATTTAAATTTGAGAATTTGAGGTCCTCTCCGTCGTCTGGCTCCTGCGGGTCGCACGTTTTTGAGTCTGGTCTCTCTCCTTTCATTCCCTCCACCCCCGCCCCCGCCCCCTCTCTCCTCCCCCAACCCCCCCCGTCGCCCTCCCCTGCCCCCTCAGGCCTAGCCATCTTCACCGTTGCCCCCACCACCCTGGGTGTGGGTGTGGCCCTCACGGAGGCGTGTGGGGGCAACCGCGCCATGGCGCTACTGCTCACCGTGGGCACTAACGCGCTGGCGGTGTTCACGATGCCGCCCGAGCTCAGACTGCTACTGCCGCCGGGACATGCGGGTAAGGGGAGTACGGCAGGGGGCCCGGCGGAGCTCAAAATGGACGTGCAGGTACGTCGTGAGGGGGGTTGGAGGCGAAGGGGGAGGGGATGGGGGGGTATGCATATGCACGCGTATGTGTGCATATGCACGCTGTTGTAGGTAGCGACCGCCGCTATTCGACGTCTGTCTGTCTGTCTGTCTGTCTGTCGTCTTGTGGTTGACATTAAGTGGATTAGGAGGAATGCCCCTACCTCTGCCCTTCCCCCTCCCCAACCTCCCCAACCTTCCCAACCTTCCCAACCTTCCCAACCTCCTCATTGAGGAGTCCTCAACCTCCCCAACCTCCTCAACCTCCCCAACCTCCCCAACGTCCTCAACGTCGTCAACCTCCTCAACGTCGTCAACCTCCTCGTTTGCATTCGGTGCTCGAAATCCTCTTTCCCGCTGCCCCATGGACCCTCCTTCCCGGGCAGGTGACCGACCTGCTCATCAAGTTGGCCATCACGGTGCTGGTGCCGTTCATTCTTGGAAAGGTAAGGTACGGATGAAGCCGCAACAGGAGGCCAAATAATAACAAATGCAGTACAAACCAACCCCAACAAACTCACGATGGATACCTTTTCCCATGTTTCCCCCGCTCTAACTTCCATACAACTGCCGTACTGCAGTTTGCACGCGAGGCGTGGCCCGCCGCGGAGAGGTTTGCCAAGACCTACCGCGTGGGCTTGTCCCTGACGTCCACCACCTCCCTGGCATTCGTGGTGTGGCAAACCCTGTCCGCGGCTCGCGACCTGCTGCTGGCTCAGCGACCGGGCCCCGTGTTTGCAATGATGGGTTTGGCCGTGTCCATGCACCTGTTGTACCTGCTGGGGAACTACCTGGTGGTTTGGTGAGCGCAAGGAAAGGGGGCGGGGGGCGGGGGTAAGGGGGTAATAAGGGGGATATATACACCTGTATGTGTTCACATGATTTCCGGGATGTAGTGCCCTCCTCAATAACCGGCCCCCCTCCTCCCCCTCCGCCCCAGGTTCGTGTTGCGGGCTCCGCTGCGTGAGGCCATCGCGGTGGTGATCATGGCCTCCCAGAAGAGCGCCCCCGTGGCGGTGACCACCATCACCTTCATGACACGGGACGCCGCCCAGCAGGGGCTGCTCTCACTGCCCGCCATCGTGGGGCAGCTCTGTCAGATATTCATCGGAGCGGCACTGGCCAAGTGGCTGGCGAGAGTGGTAGGGCGCCAAAGAGAAATGGATAGCGCGGGCCGAGCGGGGGATGGGGGGTAGGGAGAGGGTAGGGAGCGTGAATGGGAGTGTGGCATGTGAGTTCGAGTGCGAGCGTGGGAGTGCGAGTGTGAGCGTGGGAGTGTGCGAGTGCGGCGTGCGAGTGTGAGAGTGTGAATGCGAGTGCGAGTGTGAGAGTGTGAGTGCGAGGGTGCGAGTGCGAGTGCGAGGGTGCGAGTGCGAGCGTGCGTGCGAGCGTGCGTGCGAGCGTGCGTGCGAGCGTGCGTGCGAGCGAGCGTGCGTGCGAGCGTACGTGCGAGCGAGCGTACGTGCGAGCGTGCGTGCGAGCGTGCGTGCGAGCGTGCGTGCGAGCGTGCGTGCGAGCGTGCGTGCGAGTGTGAGCGTGTAGGTGCGAGTGTGAGCGTGCGAGTGCGAGTGTGAGCGCAAGCGTGTTAATGCAAGAGCGAGTGTGAGAGCGAGTGTGTGAGTGTGCGTACGAGAGTGTAAGAAAGAGAGAGAGTGTGCTTGTGTGCGAGTGCGAGTGCCTGCGTGAGCCGCTGTACCGCTGATGAAGGGCCCATGACGCTGAGCTGTTCGCGAGCAGGGTCTCATGCATGCGCCGCACCCACCGGTGTTGTGCATGTGTTTGTCTGTCTGTCTTTGTGTGTGCATGTGGCACAGGTGGAACGCAGTGAGAAGGCGGAGGAGGAGGTGGCGCGGGAAGAAGCGGCGGCGGTAGCGGCGGTGGCGGCGGTGGCGGCGGAAGCCGGTCAGGCCACCGGTGGTCAGGCGGCGGTGCCGGAAGTGGAAACATCAACGACAGGAACAGCCGCTGGCACGACACGTGAATTTCAGCTAGCGGCCACTGCTGCTACTGCTGCGATGTCCAGTGCAGATAGGCGTTTTGATGCGAGTCGCAGTACCAGTCGCAGTTAGCAGCAATGGCAGCAAGGGCAGCAAGGGCAGCGGAGTAGTGGGTGAGGCAGTGAGCGCCAGTCTGAGCGGCACCCGCGACACCCCGGGGAGCAAGCAGTATTGGAGGGGGGCAGCGGCCACGGCCGCAACAACGGCGGTCGTTACGGCTGTGCGGTGAACCACGGGTCAGTAGGGTCTCCGGAGACCCAGCGGTCGCCCAGCGGCCCCGTCTTGCAGCGGCGGCAGCGGCGGCTGCAGAGCAAGTAGCAGTCCTGCATCCCACCGGGACCTCCACATCATCATCACCAATAGTTCAGCCCAAATGACAAGGGGTTGCCCCTCCCCCCTCGGAGTCACGGCGGTGTCAGCCCGGGGGCCGCCGCCGCCGCCACCGCCGCGCGGGTAACGGCGCCGCGGGGGCTGCGGGGTGCGGGCCCAGGTGCCCGGTTTGGGGATGCTGGAACCCGGGCGGTTGTTGGGGGGTTGGCTCTGAGGGGGAGACAGTGGCGCTGGTAGGAGGGGTGTGCGGTGGTGGCGGTGGTAAGAGAGCAGTACGGAGTCGGTGGCGGCAAAAGTGAGGGTGCAAGCAGCCACGAGGCGAGGAGGGTTTTGGGGGGGGGCAAAGAACTCCCGAAGGCGACGTACCACCCGTGTGGTGCGTGTGGAGGGTAAGTGGTTAAAGTCGGGAAGTAGAATGGGGAGGGGTTTCTTGGAGGGGGGAATGAATGCATGGAAGAACTGATGAACAGCTGGGTGGGTGAATGGACGGACTGATGGGTAGATGAGGGGGGGATGAGATGGGACGGGACGGGACGGGTTGACCTGCGCTCTGCGGCACTGTTACTGGCTGGCAGACTGGCAGTAGGCGTGAGGGGGGGGCTCGGGGGAGAGCGCATGCTTATACAGCACATGCATATGCACTCGCATACATTACACACATATATTACATATATACATTAAATACATACATTAAATACATACATACGCACACATATGCATCTGCCAGACAGCCACAGATTTAAAACTCAAAGTGAGCGGGCGCCCACACCCGCCGAGGTAAGGTCCGCGGATGCATGAGTCCACTCTGGATATGGTGGTCATTAGAGACATACGGTGATTCGGTAATAAATGTACGACCCATTTGTATCGTACCGTATGGCAGTCACGCGCCGTCTGAAGTCACGCGTACGTCGGTCCTTGCTGGTCTGTGGCCCATCAATCACTGCGGCTGCTCCTAATGCTGCTGCTGATTCTCCCCCAAACACACAGGGGCATATGAGCAAATAAAGCGGCACATATATATGATCAAGCGCGCGCTTCGAACAGCACCACTCGATGACATAGACTCTTAACATATGATGAACTGATTTTTTGGTTTATGTGCACCAAGTCAACTGGTTGTACCGGTATTCAGCCCCATGGAAGGCCCGAGAGACGCCCAAACACCCACACCGCGGTCGGGGGGGGGTGTCAAGCGTTGGTTGGCAAACAGGCGTTCTAATAAAATGCGGTGTAGTGTCCGGTATTTGCAGGCAGGTATATACAGGTCGCGTGTAAGTGTTCAAGCCTTCAGTCTATAGACGCGGTACGTTGAGAGGTAACACAGGCACACAGGTGACTTGTAAGTAGCTTTTGGCGTGACGCAAAATGTCCGTACAGACTGTCGTACATCGCAGGGCAACGCACACAACTAAGTGCTGCTGACCGTTGGGCTGTGCTTCAACATAGCCCCCGATGCGGCAATAAGAATAATCTCATGAGTTATGGCGAGTCCAAAAAATTGTGGTGCTTGTTTCACGGTTGCAATGTCGGGGTGCCTTTCGAGGGGAGTCCGTTCAAAGCGGTGATGACGGAACCCGGTAGCGTCTCACTACACCTGGATGGAAAGCGACAGTTGGTAGTTGTGATTCTGGTTGTGGTGGTTAGTGGTTTTTTTAACTGGTACGATGAACGTTCAGGCCCTCACGTGGGCAACGAAGGTGACAATATTTTGCGTCTTTGTTGACCCATCCCTAAATATGATGAAGCGTGCTTTCACAAACCTTATGCTTTCACCTTAAAAGTGAACTTTTCACCTTAAAAGTGAACTTCAAAAATTGTGTGGCACAGTCCGGATAGCACACATCAGCAGATCTGCATCCGTTCGGTCGTTGGTGGCGCACCAATCAGTTAATAATTAACATGTATTAGGATGACTTTTTACCGTCGTCCAATGAATTGGACGACGAAGCCCTTCTTCGGCCCTTTCCCCTTTCCCCGGTCCCGACGCACGAAGCTCCATTCGGACCCTCCCCCCAGCCGCGAACCTCGCCGTTGAGCCCCACACCTTTGTTTTACAGTTGCGGTGTGAAAGATGGAAAGAAGGCCAGCAGTCCCATATATGCCTTGGTTCCCCACCTGCCTATCTTCTCGCCCGACATTTTTTCCAACTCTGGGAGGTGGAGGCGACAGACCAAACAACCACCACACGCTGCAGCTGCAGCCGCGCCACTACCGCTGCCGCAGCGCTCGACGAACGGACAGATTTAGATACGGGCGGGAAGGGTGGGGGACGCGCTGCTACCCCAGGGCGATCATGACTTAGGCAATTATTACCGAATCGAAGCGAACACCGACCAAAAACCAAACCGGTAGAAGTGGGGCCCAAATGTCCAGAACCTTCCTTCCCGAAGATCTTGACAGGTCCCAAACAGCCATCAACACTTTAACTCACAGCTGCTACAGGCGCCTTCAAGAGCCGCTACTCAAGAGCACGGTCGGGGCTTTGTATCGCCCAAGAACTCGGCACGTTTCCCTCCCGCCCAAACCGCGTCTCTAAGGGGTCGCTGTTGTTCTCTTCCGCACATCTTCCCGGTCCCTTCCCGGGACACTTCTTTTCCTCCGCTTCTCCTCCTTCAAGCTGCCAAACGACGGTTGTGCGGCATTCGCAGTGCGAAGAGAAACCTTCCTGACACAGCCCGCCCATCTGACCAGACACGCTACTATGATACATTTATAAGTTGCCCCCCAGGTAGAGACCTGGCAGCGGCCAAACCACAGTTCTTGCTCGGAAGGGGTTGCTCAGGGCAGGAAGGGAGCCGCATCTCCCACCTCCGCTGCCCACACAGCGGCCAACCACGACCAGCGGCCTTTCCCCCCTTCGCCCTCGCCCTCGCCCTCCCACCACCACCCCACCCCCTAGCCAAGTCGTGTCCCCCCACGACTGCTGCAAGACTGCGCATCCGGCTCGTGCATCGGGCCGCGGCCCAGCAGGCACAATATTGACCTGGCCCGCGTCCTTCTGGCAACAGGTCGTCAACATTTTGACCTCGTTCGGCTGAGTCCCGGACCACGGAACTAGTCAGCTCAGTCAGGGCCATGCCACTGGTCCACTGTGTCCAATGAATGAAGGGGAACCGGAAAACGAACGGAAAACCGTGGGTGGGTGGGTGGGTGGGTGTGGGAGAGAGGGAGGGCGCTGTGGATAGTCAAACAGCTTTTAGCAAGTCTCGGCAAGGAGCGAATAGGACAACATGCGGAGGCGCGGCGAGAAGGCGTCCCTGGTAGTCCCCCGATCGAGTCTACTGTGAAACACGTCAAGAGTGGAAAAACTGAGTTCAATTCATATCCCTATCCAATCCTTATGCAGTAATAAATCATGATCCTCAAATTCGGGACTTCTCTACTCCGCCGTTTCAGCGACATTAATGAGATACGCTATCGCAAGTTTGACCTCGGCATACAAGTTACGCGACTTGTCACAACCACACACAAGGTTGACCGACATTCCCGACTGGAGCCGAGATATTAAGGCTATTTACGGGTTCCAACAGCAATATGGGTTTTCGCAGAATTCAAAACGCCCGCAATGCGCGCGCAGGAGGATTCCAACGCGGTTGAGTCCTGACGTCCGTACACGACAGAAGCCGCGGCTCTGGCTCCCGCGCCCTCATCATCCCTAACCCAACCCGGACGTCTGTCTCTCCCACATAGACCTTTGGGATACCCGCCAGGGCATCCTGATCAATTTGATTGCCATATGCTGCACGGCATGTCGTACAGATGCCGTACAGATGTCAAGCCATGACACCTTGCGGTGAGGCTACTTGAGATCCAAATCCGCGGCGGCGGCGGACGGACCAACATCACTAGCAGCAGCAGCAGCAACAACAATCACAACAATACAATCCGCAGCCCTGCCATGCATTGCCAACTATCAGTCAAAACAAAGCCGTATACAATCCAAAATAGCAGTTTTCAGCAATCCCTTGGTTTCTTCAAGCGTCTTCATTTATTCCTCAAACAGTAATATAGCACATTCAGGCCGTGTGGTGCACGGCACGTGGATATCCAGCTCACACGGGCCTGGCTGGCTATAATCGACAGCCCTAACAGCGCTATCGAGACCTGCTTCAATGATACCGGCGCGGGTTGGATGTCTTATTGAAACCTTTTCCAACCAATACATACATACATGCATACATTTGTAGGTCAGGCATTACTGGTAAAGCACACACTGCTGCAACCGGACGTTCCAGGATCGAGACCTGTCAGGGTCGAAAATCCTTCCTATGGTGGAAGGTAAAAGTGTCGATAGTCGATGGACGGTGGTAACCCGGGATAGAGATCACCTGCGAGCTGACCAGGAACGGAGTTGGGCCGCCGTTGATCCCGCAGATTCCGTTGAATGCAGGTGATGGGTGCGGAACCTGAGCGGTCCACTAAGAAGTTGTCTAGGGTGACTGGATGAGGGTGCCCCAAAATACCGGGGAAGGTAGGGCTTCCCCGGGTAGCGGCCACAGGGCGAAGATATGACCCCCCTGCCCCACACATCATACATACAAACATGCATACATACATAAACATACAAACGTGCACACGCCGGCGCGCCAGGACATGCAATTAATCTAAACACAAGGGGCACAGCCACCCGGCGCCTCGCCAACCCTACGCCCGCCAAAGCCACCAGTCGGTAATAAACCGCTTCTGCCACCAGGCAGCAACAGCAGCAGCAACATAACCCCCCCATAACAGGCTGCGAGAGCTCCGAAAGGCCCCCCACACCACCGCCACATCCCACCAAACTTAACAACCCAGTAAACACCGATTGACACCACCCACATCTGCATCTCAGTAATAATGCATCTTCATAGCATCGAGATAATGTCAGACAGAGGTCCAAGATCCATGATATGCGTTAAGAGACATTCAAAACTCGAATCACGGAACCCTGCATAGATACGTTCAACCGCGTGTGGCTTCCCCGCCCGCGGCCCCCCGGCCCCATGCACGTGCAGTCTAGGCAATGACAGTTCAATAACTACTCCACTGGGTGAGGCACCCAGTCCATTACGTAATATATGCATGGCGCAGCAGGTGTTAACAAAACACACACATATGTGCATAGATACATACATAGCTGGCAGAGGTTAAGGCCTGACTTCTGCTCCCAGTTGACCCAGTCGACCCGGGTTCAAATCCGCCTGCCGGCTCCTCGGGTGTTTGAGGAGTGATGAAATGGGAGGTGGCCCCCCATCTTATGGACGGTGTAGGACGTGATAATATCAACTTGCGAGCTGACCAGGAACTAAGTTGATGCGCCGTTGATCCGCTAGATTTGGTTGGATGCTGGTGGTGAGTTGCCGAACCCAACGAATACATTCTGAAGTCGGATGGGGTGACGGATTAGGGTGCCCCTCTAGCAGGGGAGAGCAGGGACTGCCCCGGGAAAGGGGGCCGCTGGCGAAGTTAACCACCCTGTAACAACATACATACATACATGCAGGGCCGATTGCGGCCGTGGCTTTGCAGAGTCCGCAAGGCGGCTGTGCTGGCCGCGCCTTTCAAAATGATGCAGTATGCGTTACGAAATAGCGTACATGTAGAGCTTTATGGAGACCAAGTGGGGAGGGGCTTATGGGGGTTCTTTCTTTGCGTTGTGCGCTGGGAAGCAAGGTCGGCTCGCACGGGAGGGAGCAAGAGAGACTCCGGATCGCCGTGCCCGTACGGTACGGCACAACCGTCACCAACAACCCACGCGCCAACCAGGACTGTACGTTTGTAGGTTTGCATGTATGTATGTATCCTAACCGTGTTTTTCCTTCACTTCCCTCCGCACCGAAACCGCCTCGTCCGCTGAAGTGATGCGGTACGTACGGCGCGCACCCCTCTTTCATCACCCACACCATCCACATCACCCACGTAAAAACGCACGCGCAGAAAGTACGGAGTACGGCTCGAATCATTAGAATAACAAATGACGCAAAGTTCGCATCATCCAAACCTACCAGGCAAGGCAAGGAAAGGAGGGGGAAAAGGACAGCCGCTGCTGTGGCAGCGTTTTTAGACCTCAAGCCGGAGCCTTCCTATCAAAATGTACGGCTCTCAAAAAACGCTAAAAAAATGCCCGTAGGACTTTCATTTCTCATTGCCCAGAACCTAAGGTTGCTTAGGCCTCCAAAGGGCAATCTCCTGACCCCCACCTACAACAACACGTCTTCAGGTCAAGTGGAAATGTTCAGGAGCCAAGCCAACCTCTCCTTCCACGGCGTGCGCATTGCAATGGCATGGCAAGTACTGAGCTCTCATACCCTCATGCGCCCACAACTCTCAACCTTACCACACACGCGGGTGCGCGGGTGTGCCTTGTGTGGCGCGTGCTTTTCCTTGCACCACATTCAAAAACGGCAACAGCGACGGAACGGAAAACCGCCCAGAGGCTGCATAATACAGATTATATAATCTAAAACCAATCAGTTATGAACAACTAGCAGCTTGTCAGTCAAAGCTGCTGCAGCGACAGTTAAATCAGTTTCGGGAACCCCATGTGATGCGGCCGCGGTGGCGGCACCATCAGCATCATCATGCCTCTTGCATCAGCACCAGCACTGCACAGCACCAGGGGAAAATAAACAGCAACATAAGCACCAGCACGTTCTCATGATCCTGACCACCACCGCCAGACTGCTACCGTCAGACTGCTACCGCCAGACTGCGCACACCCTCACCCCTGCACCTCTTCACCCCTCTCTTCACGCCTTCTCGCGGTAAAATGCGCCGCGACACAGAGAAAATGAAAAATCGCAAGCACCCAAACCCGCCCTCCTAGGGCTACTATTCCCCCCTACTGCGCCTAATCAGGACACACACAGGACACAACTGGATGCGCTCAATACGCCTTCTGCATCATCCCCAGCTGTGGCTTGGGGGTGGGGTTGGGGGTTTACATGCCTGCAGGCCGCGATGGCGGCCATGTGGCAGGTCCACGTCACTCTGGGGGATAACAATCCCTTACCCCGGACCCCGAGTGAGTCCCTTCACTGCAATACAGGCCAACATCACTCAGGCTTGGAATGTTTTTGCTACCCTAGGGCAGTCATGACCACCATCGCCATCGCCGCCGCCACCAACACCACCAGCGGTAGTGGTGGTGATAGTGGTAGCAGGGCCGCTGGGCCCAGTAGAGGACGGGGGGAGACCCAATGGATAGCGGGGCACTGCGGGATTCAGCCGGAAAGGGCGGGGCTGTTGGCGACCCACAGCGGAAGAAGACACGTGCAAGTGTGCGCGTGTTCGCACGTGATCCCTATCCCCCGGGCCTCAATGCGCCGCCGCCGGCGTACCCATACGCTGCAGCGTCGCCAGCAACCGTGCAGCACGGCCCGCCGTCCTGCCGCCGCCGTACACACCACCGCCGCCGCTGGTGATAGCGGAGTCTTCGCCGCCGCCGCCGCTGCCGTCGACGCGAACCCCCCCTTCTGTACTGAAGGCGGCACGAGGTGAGCCGCCGCTGGCGGAGAGCGGTGCCGCCGCTGCCGTACCGGGTCCCGTCCAGGCGGCACTGCCGAGCACCTCATGTACGGCAGTGCGCCTGCTGGCGGAAACGGGACCGCTGCTCTGCATGTGCAGCCTGCTCGGCGTCGGCGCGGATGGCTGCGGCAAGCTGGGACGGGGCTCCAGGGTTGGCGTGATGGCCGCGCGCTGCGAACGCCGCGAGGAGTCGCGAGAGGGCGGCGGCATCTGCGATACCTGCTGCAGCGGCAGAGGCGACGAACTGGCCCCGAAGTTGACCTGCGATGCCGAGGACGAAACACGGCGCTCGCCGTCACCTCGCAGCCGTGCCGCTGTCGCTGCAGCGGCGGCGGCGCCGGCGGTGCTTGCCCCGCCGCGTGTGACTTGAAAGCACCGCTCGCTGTCGCCTCCACCTCCACCTCCACCTCCACCTCCTCCTCCTCCGCCATGTCCAGCGGTACTTCTCGGAGAGCTCAGAAAGTAATCGGATGCCTTGGGACTGGCGAGGCTCTGTCGGCTGGTTGCTGGCGACAAGGGCCGGGAGGTGGAGCTGCCAGCCAGGAGCAGGGAGCCGCTCTGAAAGGTCGCGTGTGAGAACCTGGGGCCCGGGTGAAGGGGGAGAGCGGAGAGACGAACCACAGACAAGAGCGTGATGCTGATACCAGAGATAGACAGACACGGGCGAGTGCCCCTGGGGGGTGACGCTTAACCTGGGGTTGGGGTGGGGAATGTCCGCGGAGTTGCACAACGCCGCTTCGTGCACGCGGTTCGTGCACGAGAAGTTAAGAGGGCAAACTAGGTAGGGCAAACTAGGTACGGCAAACCCAGTCAACCTGGGGGGAAGGGTGAGCGCCTCATCACCAACTCCCTTCACATATCCGTGTGGTCGAAAGGAGTACGGTGTACGAGCCTCTGGCACAAAACACATCCACCTCTCTCCCCCTTCCAGGGTGCACTGAGTTCGTGCACACACACACACAGATCATTAAAACACACACACGCACACACACACGCGCGCGCGCGCACGCATATACACGCACTTGCGGCTGAAGGACTTGTTGGGTACGTAATCCAGACGCCGGGAGCCCGATGACACAACGATGACGTCACCGCAGTCGTCGTCATCCAGCGGACCGGCACTGCCGCCCCCGCCCCCGCCGGTCACACGGTTCTTCTGTGATGATTGCGCCCTGAGCAGGTTGCCTCGGGAGGGCTGCAGGGCCAGGGGGGAAGAAGACACAGCAGTAGCAGCATCAGCAGTAGCAGCAACAGCAATAGCAGCAGCAAAACAACGAATCAGACCACAGGGGGCGTTTCCGCGGGAAATAAAGGTGACAAACCTAATAGCTTCCCGTCAAGTCTAATGTCCAGACGCAACACACTCGTGCAACGTGGCGCATGCCGCGCAAGGGTTACCCAAGTCCAAACCCGATAAAATTGACATGGGCGTTCATAAAAACAATACACCTGAGTGTTAATGTTAAAAAATAGTCGGGACTGCTGGGTCCGAGCCGGTTATGCTGTTATGGTGTTAAGAGAGGAACGCCATGTTCATCATCATCATCATCATCATCATCATCATTACCCCTCCATGGAAAGGGGGTCCCCGCGGCAATCGTGACAAACCCCGTCATGAAGTACAACTCCCCCCCCGCCGCCGCCGCCGTCGCGCCACCTGCGACTTGACGGACGGCACGTAGTCAAGAACCACAGGTACAGGTCGAGCGGTGTCGTCCCCCTCCTGGGCCGTCAGCGCAGCGGCCCGCTGGCGACCCATCGAACTCTCCAATAAATTGTGCCGTACAGGCCTGGCGCCTTGCGACGGTGAAGAACAGGACAACCTGAGGATCGAAATGACCACCGTACGACACATCATCATCATCATCATCATCATCAGCATCAGCATCATCATAAGTTCATAGCACAGCGCGATGCGGCACGATGAGAGATAGAAAGGAAAGCGCCGCAGTGACGATGACGATAATGCGTGCCAATCATGATTATCGGGCGCTATTGCTGCAAAGTAAGCCGCACCCCCACCCCCACTACCACCCGCACCTGGCCTCTTCCAGGTAGTAGCCCAGGTCGCTGTTGCGTGTTCCCCCGCCGGGTGCCCCCGGCTGCAGCGGGGACTGCTGCAGGTACGACGCTGCGCTGTAGCGGTGTCCCGCCGTCTGCGCCACCAGCCGCTGCTGCTGCTGCTGCTGCCCACCGCCGCCGCCGCGTCCGACCTCTGGGTGGCCGCTGATCAAATTCGGCAACGGCAGACTGGTCAGCTCGTCCGTCTCTGAGCGGACCTCTGTAATGCCCTCGGTGGTGGGCCCCCCGCCATCGGCAGCACCAACATTTCCGGCGGCGGCGGCGGCGGCGGCTCCGCCGCCGGCAGCTTCGGGCCCCGCCGCCGCCGCTTTGGTGTGAAGGTGCATCCTCGATACGGACACCGTGCGGAAGCCGCTGGCGGGGTCGTCCTCCCGGCGGGGAGTGTTGCTAGCGCAGCGCTGTTGGGCGATGTGGGGGATGTCGTGGTGAAGCGGGGGCGGGGGGTCCCGGTGGGAGGTAAAACCCTACCCCCTCCCCTCTCTTCCCCCCTTCTCTCCCTTCCTGGCCATGTGCACGTCCGGGCCCGCACATGCCAGGCCATACACATGCCCCGGGTGATGCCCCACAACCCCCCCCGGTGCCCACCTCCATCCTGAGAGCGCCATCACGTCCTCCTCCTCCTCCTCCTCCTCTAGAAGCTGAATCAGCTTCTGCTGCCATGATGCCGTACACCTGACCCAGATCGCCCTCTGCCTCCGCGTCTCCGCCACCTCCAGCTCTGGCTCCCGTTCCCACCCCTGGGCCCACAACCGCCATTCCATGCATCAAATCACCGATACCATCACCCAGCGGTGTTACATCTTCCTCCGCAAAGCTACTGCTACTGCTCCTCAAGTTGCGAGCCAGCCTTCCCTTCCCTACACCGGCTCCGCCGCTGCCGCTGCCCCTGCCACCAGAGGCGCGGCTGCCAACGGATTGGTTGCTATTGCGGATGTCGCGGCAGGAGTCCGAGGCGCGGCCGCCGGCTGCGTCGGCGCCGTCGGTGTCGCCCACGTCATCGCTGGGTTTACGTGGAGCGAAGGCCCAAGCGGGGCTTACGCTTCCCTTGAAGTTTTTCTGCAGGATGGCCAATCTTTTCACGGCCTCCACGCGGGAGAGTTCAAAAGAGTCCTGCTGGGGACCTATCGCCACGTTCCGCAGGGCTATGTCCTGTAGCGGGGTGGGGAGTCGGGGACAAGAGGGCAGGAAAGCGAAGGTTCGATCGCTACAGTGAATTTTACAAGGGGGGTGTTGAGTTAAGTGAAAGGTTTTAAGCTCCGTTTGAAAAGCCTATTGTTGCAATACAATGGATAGGCTTTTCAAGAGGTTGTGGGTTATGCAGAAACTGGCGTTTCCTTGCGAAGGCCGCACGCCAGGCCATGGGACATAACAGCGCACTGAAAGAGAGTTGGACGTAGCAGAACTTTTATAGGACATTATTTCTTTTCTAGTATAATGTGCGGGGTATTTCTTCGACATCGCTGCACCAACCTGCATGAACCACGTCTGTCTGATACGTCTGGAAACCGTTCCGGAGCGTGCAAACTCCGTAATTGCATCCTTCGTAAATCGCCTTCTACCCCTACACTCCGCAACTGAGCCCAGGGACAGACCGCGAAGGCGAGCAGTCTAGCTTCCTCACCTTGCTCGCTTTCGCACCAGGTAGATGGTCTCCGGGGTGGGCACCTAGCCCAGAAGCTGGCGCGAGCCTTGCGCTCTTAAAAGCAGCTCGGGTTGAGTCACGCCTGTCCTCAACCCCAAGGCGGCTAGCCAAATGCGCAGCAAATCCCATGGTTGAGTCCCGTCGGCTCGGGTCTGCCTCTCCTTGTGCAAGAAGCGCACTTGCAATTACATCGGCTGTGCTGCGTTTGCCGGGTTCCGCTAATGAGAGCATGTATCGTTGCGAGACGCCGGCTGGTCCCGCGTCTCCACCTCCTTTTCCATATGCTGGTCTGCTTGCACAAGTGCCCATCCTGACCAAATTAACGCTTCTCAAACAGAGCAGGAATTGATATGCACCTTATTCGATTAAGTAGCGGCGGTAATGAGGAAGGAAAGACACGCTTACGCAGGCTTGATGAATTCGAATGGTTGGGTACATTCAAGGAAGCCTTTAACCATACGGTTTTGGGTACAATGGAGTATAATGTGCTTAGGATGATTCCCCCATTACGCAATGCAGGAAAACTATTGTAGAACCGAGCTGCTAGTACGTCTATGCACGCAAATCTCAGACAACACATTCTGTTGAATCCTCCTGGTAGTCCTGCCGTAGACCGTGCCGTAGCTCGTCCATAAAGAGCGGGCACTGGCGAATGCACGTAACGTCCAAAGCCTGTCTTTAAATAAATGGAGAAAGGCGATCTCAGGGTTTGAGAACGAATACCGTTCGTAGGAAACGACAAGTGAAGGACCACACGGACCACACGGCATGCTTGCGGTTGAAAAGACGTCGCACCAAAAGGATCTCTGGCTCCATGATCGTGCGTTCCCGGATGCACAGTTAGGCCCACATAAAATCTATTCATTAGCTGGCCCACATCGCTACATCCTATACGGTTATCGGGACTTACCCCCCCAGTAAACTACATTCGTAGTAAAAAATAGCGGTACGATGGTGAATAACGTGCATTTTCGGGATTCGGGAGAACTATATGCAGTCTCGTTCAAGACCGTTCCGCTGACAACACGTCTCAAGCTGTATTTCGGAATCCTGCTCCGAAAATCCCCACTTTTGGCAGCAACCCAATTTTGGACCCGCATCCCATAATTGACAGTCGCCGAATGGTTCAGAAGCCTGCTGCATCGTACAGAGTCCTCGCTCTTTTGGCAACGAGCTGGATGAATAACCTGAAAAGCTTTAGGCCTTGCGCAGCGGCCTTTCTGCAAGGGCTCCGCCTCATTCCTCTTGAAAAAATTGGCGCCGTTCAACCAGTCAGCTCCTTCCCAGTTCATTACAGCACAGCGTGGGTACTCCCTTGCTTAATCGAAATGTGGCCAGAAATGTGGCCAGAAAAACGCCAGGATTACCACCCCCCAGATCACAGATCAGTATGTCCACTGCTTGCTGTGGAGAAGTGTAAGCCTGCTAGTTGTTTTATTCCAGGAGAGATTCTCCCTGAGGGAGATTTTTGTGACATCCACACGCCGATACCTCTCCTTCCCAAAGCGCGTCGTGCCAAAACAAAAAAAGAGCAGACTTCACTATTTTTTGCAAACATTATCGGTAGGGAAGGGGTCTTTAAAACTAAGCATAGCGGACAGCGCTCTGGAACGCACAAGCTGATGGCCACGTGTCACACACGCATTTGGGTTTTCTGCAGGAAGATTTGCAACGCCCTTTACGTGCTGATTTTCAAGGCCAGGTATTAGGACCCGCACTGCACATCAATGAACACGACAGCATGTTTCCAACAAGTCAGCAAGCCTGTCAACCCTAATGCAAGAAAGCACTCAGGGTACCAGCCTGTCGCAGGTTACCGATACATAAGCCTATCGCGCGTGACATGTCCCAATGTAATGCTGGAAGCTCTGTAACTCACCAGCTAGGCACACGCGCACAGCAGCGCCCTGTTTATTACCAAAGCCGTCCGGCCCAACTGCACAAGATTGCCTTCCTGTTCTCTGGAATTCCGGATAACTCATGGGTTTCGTGCCAGCCAGTGCTTTTACGTGTCTACCTGTACATGATTGAAATAACAAACAGTAGGCAAAGGATAACCGTTCAAGGCTCTTCAAACGGTTGCGAAAACGACGGATGATGATGATGATAATTGAGCTGATCGAACCGATTACCAGAAAGTCAACCAGAAAACGTACGCCAGCCCCCTCACCATAGAACACTATTGCAACTTAAGCGCTTTAACTCACAGCCTTAAACACATATGCAAAAATGATGACTGCGTCGCTGCTTTCGAATAGGAATGCCTCAGTTCGTGTGCCAAAATCGGCACTTCGTCAGCCCTTTTGGAGGGCTGTGCGGCCATACCTGTCGAACAGTGAGCCATGCGCTGTATACGCTGTGCCTTCTCGTCGGACTTTGTTGACTGAGCCGGAGACTGAGACGGAGGCGGAGGTCGATGTCGTGATCAGCCAGTTTCCCGCGCCATCTGCTGGAGCATTCCTACCGGACAAGCGCGCATTTCGGGAGGAGCACAGGATTCGGGGATATGAAGTAAGCCCTGACCAGCGGGCAACTATGGTGACCATGGCTAACTTGTTACAGGTAAGTTCGGAGCATCAGGGTTATTTGCGCCGCGCTGTAGAAAGCCATTGATGCTAAAGGCGTTGATGCTGTGCAGGAAGTGGCTGGTAACCACGCCGTCGGCATGTGGGGACGAACTGATGAAGGCTTTGCAAACCTTCCCAGCATGAAGAACGTTCTCTTTGTGATGACAAGATTACAAGTGCGGATGTTTCAATATCCTAAATGGTGGGCAACTGTGACCAGTGCGTTTCTGCGCTGTAACGCTTGCGCGCGCTCCGGCACTAGGGTCAGGCGTTATCCCCTACTTTCAAAGCTGCAAGGCCAAGAGCAAGTATTGACCCAGATGGGCTGCTTCCCACTGGTCCAACACAGAAATCCACACTGCTTTTCAGCCTGAAGCCTCACCGCTTTCAAGGCTCCGCACGGACTTCACGAAGGAGGGTCAAATTTGTTGGGGTTTGGACAGGCGTTTTGCACAGCGGGGCCTTCTAGGCTGTGATTACGCTGGCCCCACGCACGCATCCCCCAGAGCACAAAGCTAATGTTGCGGAGCCCTCTCGACACTGTCATCCCGATTATCAACGCTCCAGTCACTGCAGCCCATCGCCACTCGGTGCCCTGGAATTCGCTCTTGGCTAAGCGTCCTTGGCCGTTTTGCATCCGGCTCGCCACGCCGCCACGCCACGTCATCTGCCGAACTGATTTAATATCATATGTGTGTTGTCATCCCCAGGGGCGACATCGTTGACATTCAAACGTACTTCACGGAGGAGGGCCGTCTGGCGTTCCGACGAGACTGGAAAGTAACTGACGCAGCCACGGGCACGGTGTTGGGCGCAGCGACGAGGTACGGAGCGCGCGACAGGGCGTGCTCTTCCGGTGTTTCGTGCCCTCCAGAACAGACGTACAGCTTACAGCTTACAGGAAGCAATAACGCAATCCTTACGGCATCCTGGGTGGCGTACAGGGCCGCCTTCCAACCTCCGAGCGCACTGCCTGACTCCCTGGCTGCTGATTCCACAACATTTTTGGCCTCTGTCCACATGTTTATCATGCGAGACGTATGCGTACGATAACCCGACCCCTCTCCCCGCCTGCCTTTTCAAACCTGGGCAGCACCTGGGTGACGATCAACATGGAGACACGGCGTCTCTCAAAGCTTCCCGACAACCTGCGCAAGCAGTTCTTGCGGTTTGCGCCGGCGAGCAGCAAGTAAGCATAGCATAACGGGCGAGAGGATGGCAAATTTCCACTCGCGCAGCCTTGCGCTTTGTTCTGCGCTTTTCGGCCGGTTGGGTACAGCACCGGTAATGCAGCTCCAGCGGCTCCTACGTGGTCTTCCTTTTTCCTGGGACCCCCGGGGGAAACACCTCGTTCATTTGTGTGTATGGGTGTTTGTAGACCTGTAGCGTCAAACAGACCGCAGTTGTGGCTGAGGTCCGTTCACTCCCGCACACGTCATTGTTGTTTTGGACCTTTCCGTGCTTGTTGGTTAGGCACGTGCTACCTGCCGAGGAGACGAAGCGGAAGCTGCCTGACATGGACATGCCTGGCCAGGTGTGGATGTGGAGTAGGAAAAGGAAGGGGAGGCGTGGGATGGCGTTGAAGCTGGGTTAGATACTGCCCCGCCCAGGCCTCGAAGATGTGCACCTGATCTGTCATGAATACATGGCAAGTGCGCCCAGGCGACATGGAAATCGCCTGAACCACGTGACTGTGACCCGGAGGGCAGGGTGTGTTGTCTTCTGTGTGTACGAAGCATAGGATGCGATGCATAGGAAAATTCAAGAGAATGGGATAATACAGTGAATGACGACGTTTTGACAAGCAAAATGCCTCGTAACCAAATGTGCTGTCCAGTGCCGGAGGCACCTGTCCTGTCTATGCCTGCCAGGGTGAGAATTAAGAAACGATACGTAGTTGCTGCTGCACGGTGGCGGATGCTGGCGATGGGCGGTGTATTCTCCATCGCGCTGCCCGCCTCCCTGCCTGGCTGATTCCCACTCACCTTGGAGCACAGCTGTTGCTCCGGACTTCGTATGTCGTGTGTACTTGGCAACTTTTGTTCGCTTCTTTCGCACACTTAGAAACAGATGAGCGCCCAAACCTCCTTGGTCTCTGCACAGATTTTCCTGGACGTAAATCAGCCTGCATCCATAACACGTATTACAGCATGCCACCCATGCCGGGATGTAACCGCGCCGCAGGTCCAGGGTCCGAAGCAGGTGGCGCGCCGCAGCGACATGGACATGAATGGTCACATCAACAATGTGACCTACATTGCATGGGCGCTGGAAAGCGTACCGGAAGACGTCTATCACACACATCACCTGAGCGAGGTGCGCGCGAGGGTGTGCTGCTGCTGCTGCTGCTGGTGCCGCTGAAGCTTTGGGTCTGATCCGGATGTAGCACTTCTGTCCTCTCCACACCCCAACCTAACCTTATGTCCTATCCGGCTACCCAACGGGTTTGTCTTTTTCTCTTTCCTCCTCAACACCGCCCTGTGTCCCCCGACCTGCCCTGCCGCGCCCTGGCCGGCTCCATCGAGCAGATCGAGATGGACTTCAAGGCGGAGTGCAAGGCGGGTAATACAGTGGAGGCGCATTGCAACTTCCTGTCTGGAGGGGGCCAACTGGCTCACGAGGGGGACGGCAGCAGCCATGGCAGCAGTAGCAGCAGCAGCAGTACCGGGCCGCAGCAGCTGCACCTGTTGCACTTGTTGCAGAAGTGTGACGTGGACGCGGGCTGCACGGAGCTTGTGCGGGCACGTACCACCTGGAACCCTCTGCGGCCTTGACAACTTGGCGCAGAAGAAGTGGCGGCGCAGGCAATTGCTGCTGCTGGTGCTGCTGCAGCTGCTCTGAGGAATGTCATTGGGGCAGTGTGACAAGGAACGTGGTATGATATTATCTGTCCTGTATTACCTATTTTATGAGAAGCGCCGAATAGTACACTGTTGGGTGGAGTAGTTTGGCTAGGATGGACTTTTTCATAGTTTAATAGCTGGTAGAATGCGAAAGGGTTTGCTGTGGGTGGGTTACGGCGGATGCGTGCCAGCCACGTTTGGCCTTGCCTACGGAAATGCGGGAGGGGATAGAGGGTTGGCAGAACCACCACCAATGATGTATTGGGTGCTGCATAGCTCCATTAGATGGGGGCATTAAGAAGATGCGCAAAGCACATTTGTGATGACGTGCCCTGCGTACTACTATTACTGTGTTGCGGCAAGGGGCGAAGAAATTACCCGGAAGAATTAAGCATTGCTCTGCAGGGGTGTGTACGGAACTGGGGAGGCGTTGCAGCAGACATGCCGTGTAGGTGCGTATTCCCATGTCGGCAATGGCATCACGTGCACGTCGCGTGCCGTGATATGCAAGAAGGTATTCGGGTGTATGTGTATGTGAGACAAGGAAGATTTTTTAAGTGAATGGATGGTTTTGCGTAGCAGTGAATCTTATGATACGTTGCTATTGTGAAGAGGATTAATGGTGTGGAGTGAGGGTTAAAGAAATGACTCACGTGAGTGGCCAACAACGGGAGTGGCCTTGACAGGCTTTCGTCAGGCTCCTGCCGAACTGTCCAAATGAAACCTTAAATACACAACTTCCAATGCGGGGAGGAGATCTAGTTGGTTTTGGGGGGAGGGGCTCGCAAGCCACCCGTTTACGCTGAAAACTTGAAGACCGAAGGGAGCGTTTAGTTGGTCACTAAAACGTAGACAACAAATGCGCACCGGCTCAGCTGTGGCAAATTGAGTGAATAGGAGAAGTTACCCCTAAAAGAACGAGCACGAAGAAGACAAAACGGCAAATGTCGTACAGCAGAGCTTCGGAGAAACGAACGGGAAGATGAAGGTAAGCGTTTTATGCTGCTGTTGCAACGGTAACGATAGCTGACGCAGGAAGAAACTGTCCCGTCCTCCCGTTCCGGTAAATGCATATCCAGCGATTAGTTCGAGCAACGCTTGCGTTGGTTACGAGTCGGAGTAGGAAAATACCTGGAGAGGTGTATAGAGTTGCCTGCTGAACTTCAGTAACCTCTATCCAGGCTGGACAGTTGGCTGATACTTGCCTGCAAGGTCACACGCTTCCTTCGCTCCTACCGATGCAATGTCCGCATGATATTTTAGACGCCCATCCAAATTCGTCGGTGCGTGATTGCCTAATACCTTTCCTCTCCTCATTGGCAGGATAGACAGGGCTGCCGTGAAAAAGAAACATCCTCATATCGCATCCGCAGTTGTTCAAAAAGCTACCATAGCACCTTACACATCGGTCATGCTATACCGCCCGCCTTGGCTACGCCTCTCCTCCTGGGAGAGCTCGAACATGGGAGAACTAGCAACCGACCTGGGCAGTCCAGTCCAGCACCAGATTGTGCCTCCCAGGCATGCAGTAACCTGGTTAACACTTCTCCGGGTAGGTTTCTCCGATCCACATGCGACCGCGACTCGCCCCACCTCTCACTAGCTTCACACGACACAAGAGGATATGTGACACATATACAAATCCTTGTCCGGGTACTACCGACCATCTGCCCACGTGTATTTGTTTTCTCTGAGAAGCCGCGCACAAGGGCGATGCAGGGTGAGAGGAAGACAAGGGCACCCCACACAGACATCCCACCTTGCATGACGTACATGATACTACAGAGGGCCTACGGCAAACAAGCACCGTACGATAAAATTCGCGACCTACAATCGCTAATCCCTTATTTCGGATACACTGGGATTCGTCCCTTGGGCCATGGCCTCGGGTTTGCAGTGCAGCAAAAGCTAAAGGCACCCCAATAAGACCACTAATACTGCCGCTGGCTCAGCAGCCTAAGGCGGGATGGGGGGTTGCGCCAACCGCTTCGAATTTCTTATCGCTCCCGCTCCGTTTTTCCTAGCCGGTAGTGCCGAAGACGCGCACCGCACCTGGGTCCCAAGCACCTGAGCCCCACGGCCTAGTCGCAAGCCCAACCAGCACGGGTCACTGCTGGGCCGCGGCAAAGGACACTGACACGAACAACATTCAACGCCAATCTTCCCTAAACTTAACAACAGCGCACTCCAGAACCTAAAGGATTCCGATGCAGACACATATGTGCATGTGAGCAGCAAAACCAGTCAGAACTCTCGTCTCGTGTTCGCCGCCTACAGACTCCTCTCGCCACAAAGGTGCGATTCGACACCCGGCAAAATTACTACAAGCAACAAGCTTCGGTAGCGACGCACCAGCATTGGTGAGGAAAGACGCCGACGCGCCACGCCACATCATGCAGATTATTTCCCTGAAATTCCCCACTGCACTGGAAGGCAAAACAACTCAATTTGACTTCACACAAGCCCTGTAGGACGCGCCAGGGCCAAGAGGGAAAACCTCCGCCCAACACTGGCAGGAGCAGCAAGCCAAGGTCAGCCCCTTCAGCGGCATTGTGCCGCGGAAAACATGGGGAAGAGGGAGAGACAGGTTCGCATAGACCGACATGCGGCCGGTGCACAGCCGACATTGCCCTCCAGCACAGCAAGGCTTGTGATCCTGCAACATAGACATTCCTAAGCCCTGGCGGCGTGTGCACATACAACATGTCTTGTTTGTTTGCCTATTTATTGCCCTCGTGAGGCGATAGCGCATCAAATGGACACTTGCCAATCCCCCACGACCGATATTCCTCTCTCCCTCCACTCCATGAATACACCTAGAGCTTCGATGCGCAGCGCAAGCACAAAACCCTCCACGTCATGCCCCTTTCCTTCACTAGGCGCACGCTGAACATGGTGCACTGTTTTCAACATGCACCGATCACAGCACCCGCTTATAAAAAACGCGAGACAGGCATGATCCAGCAGCAAGGTGATTTAGCAGCATTGATTATAAAGATAAGGAATGGCCCGTTGCAGTACCCTCTCGCTGCAGAAGACCTTTTTATTATTAATGACATTGTGGGCAGATCACCGCCTCTTGGGGCCGTGCGCGCCCAAGCCACGCATAACACAAAAGAAAATTTAATTTGGTGGAACGAAATCAAACTGCAAACTTGCGTCTGCAACGAACGCGACAGAGTTGGTACCCTTGCTAAGCCAGCAAAAACAACGAGCCAGCAAAGCTCTGCGCCACGCGTTGGGCAGCTGACAATGTCGCCACGGCAGCCCACACGCTCAGGACAATTACAATATGAGATCCGCCGCGTAAAGTTGACAACAACTGTACTGGTGCTTGCCGTCCTCACATGTCATCAACCCCACGCCACAAGAGGCTTTGCAGCAAGACCAGGCGTAAAACGCGCGCGATACAGGTCAGGATCCTACCCAAGTGTAAAACTCAATAACATGCGCCGCAACCCCGAGCGACGAGAGACTCCTGCCTCATAGCTTGAGGCGCGCGCATTCGAGTCATAAGCTACCAAGGCACACGCTTCGAAACCCCGTCCACTCCGTACCCGCGTGCTGCTCTCCTCTCGTGACACGATGTTTGTAAAGTATGTCGGCCCAAAAGTGCCATAGGCAACGGCAGCAACTTGCCACAATCGACGGCATTCGCACTCCGGGCGGCGTCGCCTGCAGTGGCCTGGTAATACACCCTGTGGAGTGCGGAGTCGCTCCCAACACAAGGCCTTCCTGAGCCGCTACCCCTGCGCAGGAATCTTGGGCGGCTGGCGTGCAACGTTTGCGGCATTTGTGCTATCAGTGGCCAAAAGCTCCTCCAGTGGCTCGTTAGAGTCCATGGACTGGGCCTTTGCAGCCCTCGTCGGCTGACATTTTGGGGCGAGGACGGAGCCGGCCTTTGGGGAACAGCCTTCTCCATGATGCTGAGTATGTTCGGACGTCGCCGAGCTCAGCAGTCCTCCGACGCTGCTACCTCGACCCATTCGCAAAGCCAGAAGTGCTGTGCACGTATTGTCGTCCAAGCTGGGACGCAAGCCAGCAAGCCCAAATTCCTACAAAAGGCATGCCACAAGGCGCCATTCCGCCTCACCCAAAGGCAAAGAGCCAGCTACGTAAGCCTCAACGAAAGTGCATTGACCCCATCCGCTCACGCGAAAGATAGGTAACCGTCCTAAATGTCCTTATCAACCTCGCTTAGCAAAAAACCTACCTCTGTGCGGAAAGCAACCTGCTCTTTTCTCCCCATGCGCTCGTCAATAGCCCTCCTTTGCTGCCTCATTCCTGACAGCTGCGGCTCGACAATGTCATCTGAACTCTGAAAAAACACAAGATACAAAATCACTCTGGCGTCCCAAGCGTTAAACACAAGCCGCAAAGGTAACAACATACGGACCTCTTCCTCCTCCATCGCAGGATTATCAAAACGCTCCACGGTCTCTGTTTCGGAACGCTGCTGCTTGGACGTACTGCTGCACTGCCCCATTGAAAAAAGCTGAGCCCGGTATGAGCGCTGAACACCAATTGGTACTTGAAGTGCTAAGCTACACAATAACAATGCGTTCCAAAGTGTGGAATACTTTATTCTACCGCCAGAGTTCACCAGTTTGCTGCACACCTGTAGTGCAGGTATGGCCTCAAGCTCGTTCAACCGCAGCAAATCGCGTTAAAACAGGCACCCTTTAGCATGCAACGTCGCAATGGAAAACGGTAACTAGGTGTTATGTTACAAGTTCGCGACCTCGTAAGGCCCAGACGAGCCAGGACGCTCATGGACCGCGAGTTCCAGCGTAGTCAAAAAGAAAAAAGAAACAAAAAGGGAAAAAGAAAAAATTAAACCCCATCTGCGAGAGAAAACAGCAACTAGGGGAAAGTGAACTCAGGCTTACTACTCGGCTATCAGCGTGCGTCGCCTCATCGAGATGTTGTGCACGATCTGCGCAAGTCCGCGCTGATCATCTACCTCCATGACAGGCCTCATGTCAGGCACGGGCGCGATATCAGCCTGGCGTATACCTGTGTTGAGAAGCCCTTCCCGTAGGTCGTTGTACGCGGGATACTCTAGCAACACATGAAAGGTTGCCACAGACCGTGAACGTGAGAACTGCCTCATGCATATTGCATCGCCTACGGACATTTCCGATTCGTACATTGTACCTCAGTTGCTTAACCAAGATAAGCAACCTTCCCAGCTTGGATGATCCAACATAAAAATCATTAGACATTGGAATTACCTATGAGGAAGAATAGCAACCTGTGCCTCTTGCCCACTCGTAGAAAAAGCGCCATATCCCGTGTTTACCTCCTCTACTCTGCACCGGCCAACGTTGGCGAACAAAAAACTCGTCCATCCTTTGTCCACACGGACTCTTCCAAGCGTCCATGTGCCAATGCACACTTAGCGACTCGCTAGGTTCGTTATCACCTCCTCTTGGCTGTCGTCCCCATGCCCAGAAAGGTGCGCATGCGCAGCTGTCCAATCGCCAACGTAAGGAGGTCGCACCGGAAAGCGCATGTCCTATTGGACACCGGTTGCAAGGCCGTAAGGGGCCGTCTAAGGGACCACCACCCGCCCAAACACAGCTCATCCCATCCGACATCCCTTAGACAGGAAAGAGACAGGATCACTTGGACAGGAAGGAGACAGGAGCACGAGGATGTCACGGCGAGTGAGATAGCAGTAATACGAATGCATTACCAGTTTTTGCATGGCATCGCTACTTGTCTCTTGACAGCCAAATGTCCACCTGGTCGAATCTAACCCAAGGAAGCCTATATACCCAAGGATAGGTACGACAGGCGGCTGTACGATAGTACGCAAGAAGCTGTTTCGCTTACGCATCACAAGCAAAAATCATTATATGCTAGTTATCGCCGCGATTAACGGAATGCACGTATTACAGAAGCAGAGTTACATTCACAACTCGACGGAGGAGCTCACGCCGGGCAAAGCACATCGTGTCATTTACGGTCAGCCACCCTTGTCCCTGCCACATACAACCCCAACCACATTTACCTAAGCTCGCATAAACATGGTAGTAAGGTAAGCAACGGAGCCCCAAAAAAGCAGCGCATAATAACACAACCTATATTTCGGCATGGCGCCACCAGCCGGGGGGGTTCGAAATGGGACGGCGCGCATGTCATTGTCTGGCGTTGCGAAATCCAGTCCCGTCGAGAAACGCCCCTCCAAAGCACCTAACCCTGTTTCCACCACCTGCGCACAGCTTTAAGCCCAGACCAGAGCTTCCCAGCCGTCCCCTGTCCCGAGGAGTACCTTCACAGCAAGCCCTGCTCGGGAACGGCTGTGAAGCTCATCCTAGCAACTAACTGTCCCTTCCTCTTTCGGAGCGACTCGCTCACCAGTTTGAACAATCACAACTCCTATCAACGCCAGATTAAGCTACGTCCATAGTTGTCGAGTAAATGATACAGGCAGATCCAGGATCCAGAATCTTAGCTAGAGCCCGTACGGCGTTTATAGATTTTGGGGTCCAGGGAGGCTGCAATCCGGTCCAGCGCCTTGCCCAGCGTCTCCAAGGACGCGGCGTAGGAAATGCGGATGCAGCTGTCAGCGCCAAAGGCGTCCCCGGGCACGACAGCGACCTAAAGTAGTTGAGCAGGGAAAAGCAATGTTAAGAAAAGCCTACGTGCCGAATTTAACATCCGGGATCCGTACAAACGGAACGGTGAAGGGCACCTCTGGGTTTGACTTTAGGATGCTTGGGGTAGAGAGAGCAAGCTGTTGTTGCTCGCGCGGTGCAGGATCCTTGGCCCATCCTCCCTTACCCTATCTTCCAGCTCACCAAACAGTAAAGCATGTATATGTAAGTATATATATATATATATATGTGTATGCATGTATGTGTGTATGTATGTGTGTATGTATGTGTGTATGTATGTATGACTTAGATTACACTGTGGGCCGCGAGAGCCGGGGGCCGAAGCCGAAACACAGCGCAAGGGTCGGGAGCACACAGCACAAGTATGTATGTATGTACGTATATATGTATGTATAGATAAATACATATATACATACAAAAGTATATATATATGTTTATATACTTACGTTGGCCTTTTCGATGAGGTAGCGACAAAAGGTGTCCGAGTCGGGTACGGGCCCAAAGCCGTCCGCATGTGCGCCGGGACCGAAGAAGGCGCTCATTTCGGGTAGCACGTAGAAGGCGCCGCTGGGCTCAGCCAGGTTGACTCCAGGGATGCCGCGCAGCCGAGCGCACACAAAATCCTGGAGGGTATGATTATGGATTGATCCCGGTAGATATCTCGACCAACTTACCAATGCTGGGACCAACTTGGACGCTCATAAATCAAGCAACCCAACAGCAAAGTAAAACAAAGTACATTTGAAGGAAAAAACAATTAATATAAGTGCACTTACCAAAGTTTAGTACTTGTACTGCAATATTACAACACCAAGGTATAGCATTTAAGCTTTTGCCCTTTCGTGCCTCCTATAATTGTTGCAACAACTGCTACGCGGGTTTCAACGTTCCTCTTGCCACGCACCCGTCGCTCTTGAAATGCCCTGACCATCTGCTGCACCGGCTCTCCGCCGCCCGGCCCCAGCGCCAGGGCTGCCAAGGCGGCCTGCTGGCTGATAGATGAGGCGCCTGAAGTGGACTGGGATTGGATGATGGCGGCAGCCTTGGCGTAAATGCGCGGCGCAGCCAGATAGCCAAGACGCCAGCCGGTCATAGCGTAGGCCTAGGGAAAGGGCCGAGGGAAGGCACGTCGCCGACTCAGAGAAGGCCCCAATGGAAAACCCTTACATAAGGCCCCAGATAAACCCCCTTCACGCTAGAACAGAGCCGGGGTATAGGACACGAAATGGAAACCTTTGACCCGGATCAGTGGCGGGGTTGGCTGCGAAGAAAGGAAGTCGAGGTGGAGGTGGAGGAGGTGATGGCGTCGGCGTCGGCGGCATCAGCGGAGCAGACGAGCACCCAGAGGTGTGCTGTGTAGCAGCCAAGGTAGAGGATGCGGGCGGTGGACGACGACGACGACGACGACGACGGAGCAGAACGACGCAGGGAACGGCAGAAGAAGACGGTTGTAGAGCCAATAAAACGCTATGCTCAGGCGCTGGCGAACCCCAAATCCTACATCCTATGTACCTCTCGGCGGGTAGGGAGGGGAGAGAGGTTGGGAAGCCGCCCATTGCCATGCAGCCACACTCATCTACGACTGAAACACAGCGGGCCAACGCCACGAGCCGCCATAGCCCACGGAACCCTACGTTCGCCGCACTTGCCGCCGCCACCTACTACCCCCGAACCCCATTCCAGGACACCCTCTCCCAAATCCAACCCATGCGGGTCGTCGGACCCTCCTCGGGCCCTCCATGGCTTCAGTCCTATTTCATCGTTGCGTACCTTGGAGAAGCCGTTGACCGTGAGGGTGCGGTCCCACATGCCAGGCAGCGCGCCAAAGGACACATGTTTGGCTGGTGCATACGTGATGTATTCGTAAATCTCGTCCGACAGTACGAGCAGCCTAGGATGGGCGCCCACCACGCGCGCCAAAGCCTCCAGGTGCTCCCTGTCGCATGTCCCGCGGTTTGACGGGGCGCATACATACACATTCATATATACATGAACATTTATATGTACATTTACATATTAAAATGGACGGGAAAGGATTGGGGAAGGAAATGTGGATCGCCGAGTGTGGGTGAACCAATGAAGTGTGTGGGGGGCCCCACAGCAGGGGGAAAGAGACGGGGCCCACCTGGAGGCTCGTCCAGCTAATGGAGAGCGATTGGGGCCAGGGGACGGGAGACGGCGATGTTTCCGATGGGGCGAGGGGCATAAGGGCTGCCCTTGATGGCAGTACTTCGGTGTCTCAAAGAAACAATCAAACAAACAAACAGACGAACACGTTCACACGTGCGATATCCTTCCCCACATCCGCCCCACACGCCGGCCGGCTAGTTCGTTGGTTTGTCGGGTGCCGCAATAATATAGCACGTCATGGCGCGCAGGACACAAACCCAGATGATCACCATCAGCTCTCATCCTCTACTGCTTCTTGCACGTAATTCCCCTCTTTCTCCCCCCCCCCCCACACACACGCCTGAAGGCTTACTTGGGGTAGACAGCCCCCGTGGGGTTGGAGGGGCTGCACAAGATGAGCAAGCGACTACGGGGAGTCAGGGTCGCTGCCAACTTCTCAGGGCTCATCAGAAAGCCCTCCTCGGGGGTCGTAGGCACCACCACGGGCGTCGCATTCGCCAGCCGTACCATCTCAGTGTACGACACCCAGTACGGCGCCGGGATAATGACCTGGCAGCGGAAAGTATGGGGGAGAGGTTCGCAGGCGGGCGGGCATGACGAGAAATAATTACATGCAAAAGATTTGCAAACACAGGACTTCGAAGTCCATATGGCAATCGAAAGCAGCAATGACCCCTAGCTAGCTCCGGAACCTTGTTCCCAACAGTTACACTGGAATGTGGTGCGGACCGAATAGTCGATGATGTGGTTGGAGTCCCCACAGTTTGGCGCGGAAGCCGGGGTTTGGACGAGAAGGAGAGCCAGGTGGCTATGTAAACGTGCTACCCTAACTTGGCAGGACGGTGGCCGCGGCGGCACTCGCCTCGTCTCCGGGTGACACGGTAGCCAGTACCGCCTGCCAGATGGACTGCTTGGCGCCATTGCTAACCACAACCTCATCCGGACTGTAGCTCAGACCGTTGTCATCTACACGAGGCGCGGCGCGGCGCGGCGCGGCGCGTGGCGGGTGAGGGGTGGGGAGATCGAGCAGCAGAGAGCTGACTGAAAACACATCCGCGGACATCGCGAACTGACTGCGCGAACCGTAAGGCCCGCGTCGGTCCGCATTAGGGGAATGTAAGCAAGCAGTGTAAGTGAGCATCATACGGCACTTCGATGGGCGGAATGCCGCGGGGACTGTCGGAAGGAAAGGCGAGAGGACGGTCTGACCCGCGGAAAGCGTTGACTTGCTTGAACGGCACGAGGGAAACAGATGAGCCGCCGCTTTTTCCTGGTTATCCAGGATGCAGACCAGCTTTCGATCATAACCAGCAGCGACAGCGACAGCGGCGGCCGCGGCAGCAGAAGACGGCATGAGTGCAAAAGGGAGTATGCAAAGAGGTAGTGCCCCCAAGTGGCGAAAGCCACCAGGTAACCAGCGCCCCACAAAGCTTAGTACTGTACCCTGCTGCCCTTCACTGGCCTTCACAGAGTACATGCCGTGCGTCTGCGCCTTCCCCGTCCACGCCTTCGCTTCTCCTGCCGCTGCCGCTGTTCGCCGCGCCCTGGTGCCGGCCCCCTACCAGCAACGCTCCTTCAGCCCCTGGCTCCCAGCCCCTCGCCGCTAACCCCACATAGCCCTTTCACACAGTCCATCTAGCGGCGCCCTCGCCATGAAGCATCACCCCATCCTCACATCGCGCTTCCCGAAGCCGTCAGTACCTAGCCTCGCCCCGTGACGCCTTTTGCCCCTTCCCCCCATAGGTTGCCCATGTGTTTCCCCACGTGCAATGGAAACCCGCCCCTTCTTTCTCTTCTCCTTCCAGGCCCACGATCCCACCCTGGAGCTTCTTGCAAATTGCCTTCCTCAGAGCGGTGGTTCCCGTATTGGGGGTGTACCGGGTGTAGCCCGCCCGCAGAGCAGCCACACCCGCTTCCACGATGGGCGCGGGGGTGTCAAAGTCGGGCTCGCCGGCTGCAAGGCCGATGACCTATTCGCGCGGCGCGAGGCGTGGCATGTACATAAGGGAAGGAGGAGAGGGAAGGGAATGGTTAAGACGTACACAGGCGCATGCGTGTGAGCGCGTTGGATGGGCTTGGGCATGTCCGCGGCTTGGAGAGAAATGCATTTTATCAGGACCGGGTGTGTGGTGGAAAGGAATGGGAATACATTGCAAATGGAGGCGGGCGTCCCATTAAGAGCTCCGGTCCGTTCAAGAGTTCCGTTACGCGGGGGCCACCGTACAAGAGTTCCGGGGGTGCTCGTGGGTAACTTTTCCCAAGGCCGTATGTTGATTTCCCGGTATGCTGATTTCCCGGACTCACATCGATGCCGGCTTCCTTCATTGAAGTGGCAAGGTCTGTCAGCGCCATTGTCTTTGACGGCTTGACCGACGCAACAAGGGGATTGAGCGTCGTGTCGACCGGGACAACATTAGACGTAGGCGCTGCTGCCGCTGCGGCCATGCTTATTGTTTTAGCACGGGTAGCTGTGATAACGCTGCTGGTAATCGGGCAATGCGGAGTCGTCGCCCTCGCAAGGCGTTCGATGCAAGTGCGACCTCCGCACGCGATTGATCCGTTGTGTGATCTACTATGTGCGGTAGAATTGTGCATAACAAACATGTCTCTGCCAATTTCTGCTGCCGATCCTGAAGGATGCGGAGGCGGCTAATGGGATAGCGAGGTACCCAAATCAGTGAGCCCGGCAGTTCATCTGATTTTGTGCGTGTGGTCCAGCAAGCGCGCTGTAAGCAGGTAGCTTTTCTCGGCTGTTTCCCTTCCTACTCCGTACGGGCGCAGCACGAGACCGCAGCACGATTCCCTCAAAACAACTAAATAGAAATTTGCAGAACAAACCCTTTTTCCATTCTGAGCTTGCACGATGGTAATCTTTACGTGTAAAAAGTATGGTTCGAGTTGTACCGGTATACAATTTGGCGCCTTGTACCGTAAAAAAGTTTTCGGTTGCAAAACAGTGTGTGGCTTTTCCTCCTATCCGTTTCATTTGAGCTGAAGTAGTGCTGAAGGAAGCATATTATCTGGGAAAAATATGCGACCGCGGAGATGTCGGTTGGCGCGACTTGAAAGCTGCGGACAGGTCTAGCTTGCAGCGAGCTACCGGACCACCTGATATGGCCGGGACTTTGCAGGTATGCATATATCTTGTTTGGCACCCCATAAAGGCGCTCCTGCGAAGAAGGCCCTTGCAGGAGTGCTGCCAGCCGGGTTTAAGAAACCCAGATACCCCCATCCTGTCCTTCCTCTCCCTTCCCTCCCTCAACTATCAATCACATTCATCCCCTCCTTCCCCTCGAAAATCATCCTGAGAAGAATTACAACCGGTGGCCGCTCGCCTTGCGTTGGTCTAGGACTCTTCATACTTACTAATTCCGTCTAATTTTTTCAGAATGTATTTTCCTTTTCTATACTCTCATCAGGCTGGTATCGGCGGGGATAGAGGCGGAGGCAGCAGTAAAGGCGCAGCCCGCAATCCCTTACCACCCTCACCCACCAGCCACGCCGCTGCTCCTCAGGACCGCGTCCCGGCAGCAACCGGGCCGTTCGCAGGAGGATCCACCGAAGGCACCCCCTGCCGCAACAGATCCCACTCCCTGAAATCTGATCTGGGTCGCCCGCAAAGCTTCGGACAGCTTCCCCTGCTTTCCACCCTAGACGAGCCCAGCCGCCTCCAACTCTACGACGCCTACACGGATGTGCTCGTGAAGAAGGCGAGCAAGCGGCAGCAGCAGCGGCAGGGCGATGCCGCAGCTGCAGCCGGCGGCGCTGCCACTGCCGTCGTTGCGTCCATGTCTTCCGAGGATTTGATGCGTTTGCTTCCCGGGCAGCTGGAGTGGCAGGTCGTGCTGGGGGACGTGCAAGCCCCCACAGGGCAAATGTGAGTGAGTGAGTGAGTGAAGGGGAAGGGGAAGGGAGCGTCTCTCATTCCTCCCCTCCCTGGAACACGGAAAGAAAAATCTCATTCTGCTAGACCCATGTCTGGATGTCCGTATGTATATTAAACCACTTGTGCCTTGTGCCCATGTCTGTGCATATGTCTGTGTAAAGTAGGTATAATTTTAGTTTTACTAAAAAATGCAAATAAACAATACCGGCTGTTAAAGCGAGATTAATTTGGAATTGTTCCATATTTTTTATTTTACTTGCGAGTATGTGCAGATTCGGTTTGATTTTGAGTTTCTCGACATTGCTTGCAAGGTCTACTAAACTAGGCAACCCAATATTGCTTGAATAGGGTCTAGTTTACCAGAACCTATTAACCATACAGAGACTGTCTGTTATGATGTTGTTATTGTATACTGTTTCTCACTCGTGGGGGTGAAGGTATACATTTTCACGAGTGGCCTGGCAGTCCCAACATCGGCGCCGTCATCCTTGTCATCGTGATATCACCCCATGTGTGGCGACATCTGGGTACTCAGCACCCACCATCACTACCACCACCACCACCACCACCACGGGCTCATCCGAGTGGAAACGTAAATGAATTCCATATTTAGTATTTCTGCCGGATCAACGGCGACGTCAACTCCACGCCTGGTGGTCGGGTGGTCGGCAGGTGTCATTAGAACCGGGTCCATCACCGTTCAAAAGGCATGGGGATGCATCCACCCTCTCATACGGTTAAGGGATGTCTACCCCAACTTCTGTCGGGGTTTTGATCCTGGGTTTGCCTTGGTGGACGCTATTTGCCTCACCTTAGCATATCTACTTATTGTGTCTGGAGCCGTGTACATATCTACACGTTCCGAAGGAAAAAAAGAGGTGTGCGGGTGGAGGGTTAGCAGGAGTGGGAGTGGGGTGTTTAGGCCGGGCTGGAAAGACTTCGACATGACGAGGACCACGATGAGTACCCGATCTCCCTCCGCAACATGGAACTCCCTCCCCGTGGCATGCTGCCGACTTTCCTGTACCCCTCACATCCCTCTGCCGGCCGCCGTCGTCCTCAAAATCCCATCCCGCGGGACCGCCCGGCATCTCCAGCCCCCCCCCCAACCCCCTCCCCTAGCATTCCTCAACCTAATTAACTCCCCCACCCCATCCCATTCCACCCCATCCCACCCCAGCTTCACTCGCTCGTGATTCGTCTTCCCACCCCACCCCACCCCACCCACCCCACCCCGTTTGGTCTTTGGGCTTCAAAACTTAATTCCCCCACCTCCCCCTCCTGCTCCCACTCCCATTCCCCCGGCAGCGGCGTGGCCGCCTTAAAGCTTCTGGGGTTCGTTCTGCAGTCTCCTGCGGCGGCTGGGCAGCTCCCCGGTGGGTCATGGGTTCGGTGGTGATGCTGGTGAAGGCAAAATTGCGGTTTCTTGTGTTGCTGTGGAAATATTGGAGTGACCAAATGTTTTGGTCCGACAAGCAATCCTGTTCAGCTGGTGGGTAGGCGGGCACCCGGGTATTAGAGGGGGCCAGATTTCCTCATGTTGGTGCATCCCTATCTACCTACCTGCTGCATCTAATGACTCCCGACTACCTGACTGCCTGGCCATCTGCCTGCCTGCATCGGCGTGTTGGCTAGGCCAAGTGGGAGCCACAAAAAAGAATTCCAACTACATATCATATTCGAACGGGAAAATCTTATATAATCACGTTTACAGCTCGCGCTGAGATTTGAACTCAGGTCGGTGGATTCAGAGTCCACAGTGCTAACCACTACACCACGCGAGCACTGCATGTTAGAAGTCATAAGCTGAAACAATAGGTTTGGTCAATACGTTGTTGTCAGAACGCCGTTCTGTCGTCCAATCCGGCATGCTGCTTACTTACAGTCACATCCAGTCAAACCCTTGTGAGACTAGTTAGGCTAATCAACTCCGTAGAGGATAAAACAATTTTGCACGTGTCCAGCATAAAAAGATATATATACATGTTGATGTAAGACACATTTCGGGCTTTCGAATTATGACCTGGTTTCTCTACTGGGTTTTAGGTGCATGGTGTAGAGAAAGGAGGGGAAGAAGAGACCTTGTGAGGAACACATGTACGGAAAAGCCCAGTGATAACCTCAAGATCTTATCGAATGCCGGCGGGTGGTGTTTCCCAACTTTCGGGTGGGGTTAGGGGTGTGCCAGGTGTTTGTGATTGAAGACCCCGGGGCGAACCCCTCGTGTGTGTGTATGGGGTGGGGTTGGGGGGTAGGCGAGCCCCTGTGGCTTAGAAGGTTCGGGAGGGGGGGGGGGTAGGGCGCAGTTGTGAGTTTCCTGCTACTTTTCTGTGTGCTACCTTCCGCGGGTTTCGCTCGTTTGGGGAGGAGGGGCGCCCTGTTTCCCCCCCGTTCCCTCGTTCTCCTGATACTTCTCCGAGCTCGCACCCGCCTTTTTCCTCTGAACCTCCTCCCCCATCCCCCCATGGCAGCAGCTTTAATCGTGTGTGGTTCGTCTTTCCCCATCCCCCCATCTCACCAGAGCAACGCCCCCACACGTTTCCCCACACGCAGAGGAGCATTGTGGGCGCCTGGTGCACGTGCTACTGGAGGGCATGCGGAGGGAGGTCAATAAGGTAAAGCGGGGGAGAGGGGGGGAGAGAGTGGGGGAGGGGGATGCATCAGATCCAAACACAAGGATGTGTCAGGTCGCTTTCCCACCATCTCTTAGTCCACTATCCGTACACGTGTCCCGCGACGCAGCTGTTGTACTTCCATGGCTTTCCACCCACAGGACACCTGTACCCCGCGTCCCCGCCGCCACCCCGCGGCCACACCACACACACATAGACACGCCCTGTCGCCCGGTCTTGTCCGGGTGAGGGTTTCCTTGCCTCCTCCCTCCCGCCCTCCCTCCCTCCCTTTTTTAGTTTGTCAGATGGGAGCTGGTTGCTTGCCTGCTGGTTGCTCTGGACTTGGATCGGCGTGCGGGTTTCACACGTGTATTACCCCCCTTTCCCCCGGCCTCCCCTACCGCCGCCTTCCCGCCCCCTCCTCAGGGTCGCTGCAAGCTCTCCATGTGGGTAGTCCAGACTCAGCAGCTACCCCCCAGCTGCCTCTGCGGACAGGGGGCCGCCCTGTTGGAGGCGCTGGGGTGTTGCCTGCCGCTTGATAACCCCTGGCAAAGGCAGGTACCAACACAGCGTCGGAGGGGATTGCGGGCAGTTTCTGTGAGTTAAGGCGCGGCTGTCGTAGTGTCCCTTCGTAGATGCGATTGTATTTGTAGATATTTGCTGCTATGTGTAGCTGCTGCTGCTGCGGAGAGGCGTCGGGTGTGTGAGCTGAGCGCTGCGCCCACTGAGCGGCTAAGATTGCAGCAACAGAAACGCCAGCGGCAGCAGCAGCAGCAGCAGCAGGAACAAAAGGAGGAGGGGGTGAAGGGTGGAGTGAGGGTTTAGGAAAGGGAAGCGTGCCGTGGCGCTGTCCTGCGCTTCGTTGCTAACTGTCCGATTATAGTCTACTACACCCCTCTCCCCCTTCTTCCCTGTTCGAGTGCCCCTGCTCAACACACCGTTTCCCTCGTCTTACCCCCCCCCCCTCCCTCCTTTGTCGGCCTGGCTGGTGGCTGCTCCCCGTCAGCCCCCTGATGTCCTTGCAGGCGGTGTGGGCGGTACAGCGCTTGATGGCTCAGTTGCCTGATGAGGCAACCCGCCAGGCGGGCAGCTGGGCGCCAGCGGTGTGGACACTGATGCTGGCGACTGCCCCTGCCCCTGGTGGGGAGGGGGCCCCATCGGGGGGCAGCGCGGTGAGTGGGGTTCCGACGGCGGCAGCGGCCGCTGGTGAATGGTGTTGAGAGATCAGCGGGCCGGGAGGGTTGCTTCTGTAGGTAGGTAGGTAGGTAGGTAGGTAGGTAGGTAGGTAGGTAGGTAGGTAGGTAGGTAGGTAGGTAGGTAGGTAGGTAGGTAGGCAGGTAGGCAGGTAGGTAGGTAGGCAGGTAGGTAGGTAGGGTATATGTATGTATCTATGTAAGGATGTGGTCGTTGTGGCGTATAAATACGTATGTCTACGTTTTTTCATGATCTAAGTCGGGAGAACGGGGAGGTGCTGGAGGCGGTGTGTATGTATCTAGAATGGCAGGAAGGAACTGAGTTGCCAAGCTGACCGCACGTACGGCGGGTACGGCGGTGTAAGACTGCGCGTGGCGTTTTTGTGGTAGCACGCGGTTGGTTTGTTGTTGTTCTTGTTGTTGCTGTGGTGGTGGTGGTGGTGGTGGTCAGCCCTCCTAGGAGTCCGGCTGTCCCCTGCTAGCCACACCTTCTTCCCCCCTCCTACACACCCCTGTCCTCTCCTGGCCGAGTATGTCCCCTCTGGGGCCGGAGCTGGAGCTCAAGAGAGTTTGGGGGTACTCGGGCCCGTCCATATAGCACTATGAACGCCATAGTAGCGGTTTGCGGTACCGGGTGGAGTCTCCCCGCCCCGAAACCTGAAGCCGAGCCCTGGCCCCCTGACCCATTCCTTCCGCCTCCGATAACTCCTTATTTACCCGCGCGGGCGTCCGTCGCCAGCCCTCCAAGGCCGACAGCTACCAGCAGATCCGCGAACATGCCGTACAGCTGACGCGCCAACTGGCGGCGGCGCTGGCGGCGCGGCGGCGCGGCGAGCCGCTTCCTGCTGCCGCGGCCGCCGCCAGCCCCGCGAGTTCGGCCAAGATCAGTGGCGGTGGCGGCGGCGGCGGCGGCGCTTCCGAGGATAAGGTGACGGCGGCGGCGGCGGCGGAGGCCGAGCTGGTTGGCCGGCAGATGGCGTCGCGGCTGACGGGGGGCTTGTTGACAGAGGTGGCTAAGATGGTAGGTGGCAGCCAAGGCGAAGGGCCAGCTGAACTAAGTCCAGCGTAGCTGACCAACCCAAAGCGCTGTGTGTGTAGGGGTGTGTAGGGGTGTGTAGGGGTGTGTAGGGGTGTGTAGGGATGTGTAGGGGTGTGTAGGGGTGTGTAGGGATGTGGAGGGGTGGGAGGCCAGGACAGGAAAGGCGGGCACACGCAGAAGAAAAACGTCGGGGACGCGGAAGGAACTTCCGAGACTAGAAACATGAGATTACACAGGCCGGGATAAGGCCCGGGTAAGGCAGGGAAGTGAACGCGGGTGCCTCGTGGGCAGGTTAGGATTACGAGAGATTGAGCAAGCAAGAGGATCAGCTGAAAGAACGGAACCTACTTTGCCCATTCCGCCACCAGCCACTTTTAACCCCCTTCCCCCTCCTCCTCCCCAAAGGGAGGGGCTCCACGAAACACATCACCCCTTCCCCCCTTTCCCCCGTGGGCCCCCAACTGCTGTTGTTGGTTTCCAGTTGGTTAGTTCGTTGCCGCTGTCCTAGGTGAGTCTTTTGAAGAGACCAGCGGTTTTGTCCGTATGCTCATTTAGGCCTGTCGTATGGATTTATAAGTACAGCCCCTATAGTCGCTAAGCACATCGGCAGCAGCGGTCAGCGGGCGGCGTGCCCTTCCCATTAACCTACGTACCTTCTCCCCCCGTGCTCGGTCCTTCCAAACCCATGCCCCACTGCCCAAACCTCCCACTGCCCAGGTCTCCAGGGTGACTACCCTGCCGCGCGGGTGTGCCGCCCCGGAGCCGGCAGTGGAGGAGGCCGTGGCGGCGATTGGAGCCTGGGGGGCGGCGGTGCGGGTGCTGGGGCCGGCGTTTTTGCGTGTGACTGGCCTGGGGCAGAAAATGCTGGATGTGAGTGTGGCCTTGACGTGCAAAGGGGTGGTGGTGGTGAGGAAGGGAAGGGGAGGGGAGGGGAAGGGAAGGAGAGGTCAACCTGGGTATCACCCGCCATCAGGCATCGCTATCACCGACACCCATTACCCAGCGCTACTACCACTCACCGCAATCTAATCGCTCGCGTGTCAGCACCTTGTCCTTCCCCCCACAACTTCTTCTTCACTACGTCATCCCGAGGTCGCCGCACTTCAAGAACGCCTTTTGGTCAGTTCTACGTCTGGTACACTCTTGCCCTGGCAGCACCTTCACTCGTTCGTGGTTCGTCTTTCCCCCCACCCCTGCCCAAACCCCCCAACCCCACCCGACCATCCCTGCCCATCATCACCACCCCGCCTCACAAGAATCCACCTCCCCACCACCTCCCCCCACTCCCCGCTGCACAACCCTCCTGCCCTTCCCCCCACCCCCCCCCCA